TAAGTCTAATTTATAGCCTAGTATAAATATAAATATAAATATTAAAATTAAATTCTTGTTCTTCCAGAAGGAAAAAAACACTTTAGAGCAAGTTAGCGGCAATTAGTTGGCTAACATAAGCAGTAAAAACGCCAAGCTTAACTTGAAAGTTAGATTAATCACTCTTTCAGCATAGTTCCACGTTTGTGCATTAAAACATGTTCGGCATTTGCGCCAAATCGATTGCAAAGTTCAAAACATGCGACAAAAATGCAACTAAATGAGGCAAAATAAAAGCCGGCGATTGACAAATGCGAAGCATCTTAAAAGTGGAGCACATGCTCAGATTATACACCTGTTGCACACATACACAAAGGTAAAAAATTGCCAGATTCATCGATTAAATGGCAAATGACAAATGCTCAGCCAGAGCCAATAAATCGATGCTGTCCAAATAAAAGCCATATTTTTTACTCCTCTTAAGTATTCGAACTTTGCATTTTAAATAAATCGTATACCTTTATATGCATATACATTAGACAATTAATTTAAATTGTTTAAACCTCAATACTCTAAAATAATATTTAGAATTTAATTGAATTTATTTTAATATTTAATATCAATTCATAAATAAACGTATAAGTCAAATAATATGTTTTATTTAAAATCCTATTATAAGTAAAAAACAATAAAAATATTAAAGAAAACTATAAAAATACAATTACAAATATAAAAGTACAATGAAAAAATATAACAATAATTTAAAATAGCAATAAGATTCTCTGAACATGTTAAATAAAGTTGATATTACAATAAAACAAAATACAAAATATAAATAAAATTAATAATATCCAAAAATAAAATATTTTCTTTTAAATATGATATAATAACATATGAAAGAATAAAAAAAACCAAAATTTAAGAAGTTAATGAGTAAAAAAAACACAAATATTTGAATTAAATCAATAAATAAATTCATATTAAATGTAAAATATAATATATGAGACTTGAATACTAAGAGCTGTTATTGTTCTTTCATATATTATCGACTATAGTGTATCTTTTGTTTAAATTGACTTAAACAATGCCCACTTTTAATTGCCTTCTATTAGACAATGGCCCCAAAGAATTTCTATAGAATCTGGTCAGCTTTTAATTTATGGCCACCAAATACGACATAAGTGTTTTTATACACTGAATCCAATGAAAATGGCACTTCAGGTTATAATGTTTTTGTGCAATTGACTTGATATTGGAAATATATATGCTTTTATCAGTCAGTGCAAACTCATATTTTCGATATTCTTTCATTCATTCTTTTCGATAACTCAAGAGATTTTCTTATTTTTATGCTGGGTAGCCCCTAAGCGATACAAAACTATTTAGTTTTGTTCTAAAGGAAAGGAATGATGCCTTACTTCCAGCAGTGTTAAGCCTGGTGGAAAGTCTTGACTTGTTATATATTATATGGAAGCTTAATGAAAAAAAATCTATATATAATGTCTAGTTAAGAGTTGGATTTAATGAACAAGAAAATATTTGATAAAAAAGCAACAAATTTGAATTGACATCATGTTTTACTTTGCTTAATAATTTTTTATTGAAATTAATATTGTTTATGCATTTGAAAAGCAGAAGAAACAATTCTGAATTGGGCAACACCTTTGCGCTTATTGCACTTAATTTGCATTTCATATATCATGTTATATAATAGAACACCCAACGCAGCTGTCAAATGCCTAAAATTTATATGAAACAACCAAATTCTAAATAAAGAAATCCCGAAAAAAATATTTAAGAAAAAAACACACAATTCAATAATATAAAAGAAAAAAATAGAAAAAACAATTTTTTATCATTTGAAATTTGTTTGGCTTTAGAACTGGTTCACCTTAACGCCGCCGCAAGGCATTAATTATGAACAGACAACTTTTTGTTTTTGCTTTTGTTTAAGTTTCGACAACAAGCGGAATATATAATGTGAAACAAACTTTGATTAGCTAATGGTCCGTTGATATTTTATGCAAATGCCTTGCTCTGCATTTAGACAGAGTCTGACTACATAGATTATTCGATTTGTTTAGCATAATCGGATAGACGTCATCAGAATCTACATAAATTTTTAACTAAGTATGTATTTATATACATTAAAAAAAAGAAAACTCTTGTTAATTTTAGTGTGAATCTTTTGTCAACGTTCGTTGCATTTGTTATACGATCGCTAAATTTATTGGATTTATTTGTAATCGATATGAGCGGAGGAAACAAAGATGCTTTAGTTGCTTTAAAAATCATCAAATTAGATTTTGCAAATACTTTCAAATTGATATTTTATAAACATATTTGCATAAGTTTTTTTGTGTTTTAATTTATATTTTTTTTGTTTAACTAGAATATTGATTTTATGTGCCTTGAGACGTTTTTGACTTTCTTTTTTTTTTAACTTATAATTTTTTTTAAACTAGAATATTGATTTGATGTGCCTTGTGATGTTTTTGGTTTTTTTTGTTTGGCACGTGTACAATATGAAAGTTGAATTGAAAACAAGAAGCTGAAGCTAAAGTCGAAGCAGACGCAGCAGCCGCAGCCACAGTGAACGCACATAAACTTGAACTTGAATTTAATGTTGGGCCTTAACCGCTATGTTTCTTCCCTTCACTTTGAGTCGTATTTAAGTTTATTAAAGACAATCTGCAGCTTATTATTTTTTGTTTGCTGCTACTGCTGTTGCTTCTTGTATTTCCTTTTTTCTTTTGATGGCTTTCAATGGTTGTTTTTGGGGTCATCTGCGCGCTGCAGAGTTCTTTATATACCAACGCCAAACAAAGGCCTCATTTAAGATTTGTACGATAATGTAGTTCAAATTCGGCCTAATGATAATGATAATGGTAATACTAATGCTGATGATAGCATACGACATACGACCTTCGCCTTCAAACTGCATATCATAATTAAACACAATCTGATCTAATGATATCTATTTATATATCTATCTAGTCGTATACCAAAGGCTTGGGTTCTCTCTTTAACTCGACTCTCATTGTTCACACGTTCCATTTACATGGCCATTGGCCGATTCGACTCGTACTACCCATTGATTTGACTATATTTATATATATATATTTATATATATTCTCTGTATTTCCTATGCACATTAAAATGTCAAATTATACACACACACACTCACACTGTAAGCATTCAATCATTGCACCCACAATACGAATTTACTTGGCCCGAAAATCATTCGAGATCAAAAGTTCAGTCACGAACCCAACCGAACCGAACCCAACTTAAAAGAACTTGCAGACCAAGTGGCGCATGTTTTTTTCGTTTTTTTTTTCTCTTGCTGACAACAACAAGAATTACACAAGAAAATTGTGGAAAATGCAACTGAATTTGCTTTGCATAGGAAAATGTGTGGCTAATGTTGATTTAGCCTTTTGGGCAACAAAAACAACAACAGCAAAAGGTTTCCTCTATCTTGATTCGTGTGGGGCGGATTTCTCGTTTCTTCATTATTTTGCGACTAAATAATTATGCTGTATCTATAATGAACCTACATAAAAACAACACAAAGTGGAAGCCACTGTGTTAATAAGCTACAAATAATCATTTTTCGACAGTCAAGATTGAGGAGCTAAAACAAATCACTAATAGAATTTTTTGGTAAACGGAAACGGAAATAAAGTTGACTTGCATTTGTGGACATATTTTTTCTTTTGTTTACTTTTTTATTATACTATTATTACTTTTTGTTGCTCTCAATATAATATCGATTATTTGTTGTAGATTTATTTAGTTTTCATATATACATATTATATATTATTATTTTATGTTTTAAAATAATAGTTTTTCATATTATTATTAAAATGATTTTAATAGTTTTTAAATTAGTTTAATAACAAATTAAATGCTTTAAAATGTTTGTATTTTTTTATTTATTTATTTTTTATTTTTATTTATATCATTTAGTATATTTTTTCTATTAAATTTTATTAAACTTTAATATTTCATAATTGTTGTTAAGTTTTTTTTGGGCTTTATTCTTTTTATAAATAACTAAAATATTTTATGAATTATTATTTAATTATAATTCTATTTGGTTTATATTTATTTTAATACGTTTATTTTAAAGATTTATAATTTATTTATTATTCAATAATATATTTTAAGTTTAATATACTATATTCCAAAACTTTTTTTAACTTTAACTACGGATTATACTTCATTTTGTTCATTGATAATAAAATACTTTTTTTTTAAACTATATGATAACTTTTTAATGAATTCTGTCAAATTGTAATTCAGTTTTATAGTATATTTACATATATTTATTTTTGTTTTCAAATTTGATTGTTGATAGTTAATTTTTTCTAGTTTTAAATTTGAAATCGTTTTATGTAGTCTTAATATTCCTTGTATATAACGGATAGCTGATAATGTAAGTTTTTAAATAACTCTCATATTGCATATTTATTTTTAATGGTTATTTATATTTCTATTTGAAAAGTAGCTGTGCTTGTATTATTTTTAATTTTTGATATTTGAAGACTGCAAATGTTTATTATTTTTGAAACACTCGAGCTGAGAAGCACGTTGTGCGCTGTGGAACCTTTCGACTATGCGGTGCCCCCCAGTTGTCCACTAAGTACTTGGTGCCATTAGCTGTTTGCCGTGCCGCCAACTATTCAAGCCGTCACACCGACACGCACTCACACTCGCGCACTGAGGCTCACACGCATTACACGTATATACACGTACAGTGTCCGTGTGAGCTGAAAGCTTTTTTGGCATGCAGCATAGCATTTCCTTACGCGCAGAGAGCAAATACGGCTAGAAAAAGAGAGAGTAGATACTGAGAGCGCAGACAAGTGACAGAGAGCGAGCGAGGAAGAGCGAGCTTTTTGAGATACAGCCGCTGCTGCTGTCGACGTCGATCTTTGACGCAGCCACCGGGCCAGAGCATCCAGCCATAGCCGTGGATCGCCTGATCGGCATATAAAAGCTCGCAATGTCTTAGCAAAATTATTCAGTTAACAGTTGCGGGTTGGTTGAGACATACAAGCCCCGGCAAGAGTTAAGTTCAGTGTCGCTTGTCTAGAAGTTAAAACAAAGTGCAAAATGAAATCCATGGTATGTTGTGTTCAAGCGTACTATAATATACAAAATAAATGTCAAGCCAACTAAACCATCTAAGAAACGTTTCAAGTTACAAACTCGCCAAGTGTCTGCATTATATCCACCATAAATGTCTTATATCTTATTGCCACCTCGCAATATAATGGACACGTATTTTGTGCTACGAAAATCTTAAAATATAAATAATTTGTGTTCAAAAAAGTTATGGAATTTTAAGAGCTCGAAGAGCTTACAGATTTTATTTATATATTATAATATTCAAATTTAAAGGCAATTTTAAATTCTAAAATTTTTTAAAAGACTTGAAAAGTCTTTAATTTAAAAAAATTCTCTAGACACAAAAAATGTATGAATTTTAAATTTATTTCAAATTTGAAATTTCTAGAATTTTCTTGATATTTTCTTCATTTATTTATTTTTTTGATAAAACATTGCAAGTCTCTGTTTTTTTTTTAAATTAATACTACTTTTTTACATTTTAATTACAATATTTAAATATATTTATATATTATATATTAAAATGAATTAAAAATTTGCAGTATTTAAATTTTTATCTTAACGATTCATCCAAAAGTATTTTGTAATCAAATTTATATTTTTGAGATTTAATTAAGCTATATAGAAAGGAACCACAAGTAAATTCCGTCAGATTTTAAGCTAAATGCACTTCTTATTCAATTGAAAACCCATTTCACAAATATCGATTAAAGCAACTCCCATGAAAAAAGACCAAAAAATCAAGCATACGCCACTGCGCAAGTTCTTTGCGCATTACGTATGCGCCGTGAGGCCGACGAGTGCAGCTACCATTGAACTTGGCGCGCTGCCAAACACATTTGGCAGATTGCATAATTGTCATATTTGAAATAATTGTTGGCGGAAGTGCCGCAGCAGTCTGATTATATAATAGTTGTTATAGCGATCGTGGTGATTAACACGGCTAACCCACTTTGGTTACCTTTTTCGTTTTGCAGCTTGTTTTTGGCCTGGTGGCTATGTGCGCGCTGTTGGCCAGCGCCGAGGAGGCCGCACAGAAAGTGGAGGTGGCCGCTGCCGCTGCCGCTGACACGACCGAGAAGAAGCAGGAGAAACGCGGTATTGTCTCCACTGGCTACGGCATTGCCGACGGCGGCTATGGCGTCAGCAGCTATGGTCATGGCGGCTATGGTGCTAGCAACTACGGTCTCTCTCTGAGCGGACCCGGTTCAATCGGACCAGCCGTTGTTTCACAGCTGCCCACACAGGTGCGCACCAACACCGTTGTCCGTACCGTCCAGGTGCCCTATCAGGTGGAGCGTCGTGTGCCCTATCCCGTTGAGAAGACCGTCACCTATCCCGTCAAGGTGCCCGTGGCCCAGCCCTACCCCGTCGAGAAGGTCGTCCAATACCCAGTGAAGGAGATCGTTAAGGTGCCCGTCCATGTGCCACAGCCCTACCCCGTTGAGAAGGTCGTCAAGGTGCCCGTCAAGATCCCCGTCGATCGTCCCTACACCGTCCATGTGCCCAAGCCATACCCCGTGCCCGTCGAGAAGCCAGTCCCATACACCGTTGAGAAGCGCGTCATCCAGAAGGTGCCCATCCAGGTCGATCGCCCAGTGCCCTATGAAGTGAAAGTGCCCGTCAACGTGCACGTTGAGAGCCACGTGAAGCCCGCCATCACCGTCACCCACACCGTTACCAGAACCGAGGGTGCACCCATCGTCAGCGCACCAAATCCAAGCATTGCCTACAACTCTGGCATCTCCGGTGTTGGTATCTCTGGACCTGGTATTGCTCTCGGTCACGGTATCTCCTCTGGTCATGGCATCATCTCCTCTGGTCATGGCATCATCTCCTCTGGTCATGGCATCTCCGGCCTTGGCGGTTCTGGATATGGCGTCTCTGGACACGGTATCTCTGGACACGGTATCTCTGGACAAATCGTCTCCGGACACGGCGGCTACCTCCACAAAAAGTAGATCAATTTTAATGCTAACGAGGGCCACATCAGCTTATGACATCGGGTAAAAGGCGTATGGCAACAACATCCACCCATATTTTTTCACACGAAGAACAACCACAAGAAAAAGAAAAAAACGAACCTAACTGGAATTATCCCAAGAAAACAAACACCCGCGATCCGTAACCCTCAAAGTACGACTTACAATTTAGTTTTAGTTTGTGATACCAACCGAAATTCTAGGAGGAAAGCAACCATCAACGTGTTCAACGGGAAGATCATCAAATGCGGCAATTCGCTGAGTGTTTCCCTGGTGGGAACACTCTGGAAACTTGCCAGCCCCTCCCTCTCCTATGGAAGGAGAATCAAATATTAAGTCGCATTCGTTTGTCCTGCTTGTCTGTATGTTAGTTGTGTCACCATCTTCCTCATATGTACAGTTCTTTCTAGACAGAAAACTAAAAAACATCTAAAATTCAGTTGCCTCTACGACTTTGTTTTACGTTAATTTCTATTCTATGAAATTTTTGTACATATTTAAATAATGTAAATAAAAAGAAAATTAAAACACACTATGTTTGCTTCTTTTTTCCAATCAGTTCTATTTAGTTTACATGGTTGGGGCAAAAGTTATGCTTTGGGCAATCGACCAAAGTCTGCCTGCACAATTAGATAAATATTTTATAAAAATATTTTAATTATCTGTGACACTTTTATCAGCTTAATACACTTTCAAATTCTGTAATAATTTAAAAAAAATACTAATAAAGTTAAGTTTTTTTTCTAACCAATTTATATAAAAATTAATAAATAATGAACAAATATATGTTAATTTCTGATTAAGCTCTCATGTCAACATAATATATTAATATTAAAAATATACATTCTAAAATCGAAAGCTATCAAAAACTGAAAGCCCTTGGAACACTTTGCCAAGCTTTTATATATATTACAACTGTACGCCAGACAAAGCTCAACTACGAGTCAAGCTTTACCAGGGGATAAACGGAAAAAGTATGCTAATAACTTTAAATATCACACATAGATATGAGCATTTCAGAATTTGTAAGCCCTAGAATATGCAATACATAATAAAATACAAAAAGAGTGCTCTAAGCGAAACGGCTCGACTAGGAGATAGCCTGAAACCTGCGATGCAGTGATCAATGACAATCAAAGACACATACACAAACACACGCAGCGGCTGCGCTTGGGCTGCCATATGTGCTTCAATATGGGAACTTAATTGTTGTCCATCTAGAACAATTGTTAATTGCTCAAGTCGCTAGCTTTTGTGGTTTTGTTGTGGACCACGTTCGTCATCCCTATCCAGAATATATATACTTTGTGGGCTCTGCCACGGCTCCTTTTACCTGTTACATACATTTTCACAAAACCATTATACCCTACATTTCCATTTTAATGGGTTCAGGGTGTAATAAGTGATACAGGGAAGTAAGAACATACAGTCGGGCTGGAGCGACCGACTAATACGTGCTCACAGTCACACACAATCTGTAAAATTTCGCGACTAGCAGAAACAAATATTATATAGTATTTCCCGATTTGCTATGCCCTTAAAATCGAAGAACTCCAACAATTGTATGATCCAAGCGAACGGCTAACAAGCAGAGTTTAAAACAAAACCAATATACTCTTTTAACTTTGCAAACGAGTACAAAAAGGCAGATAAAAGTGTTCATAAAATATAGTGGAATAGCTCTGAAATTTGTTGTACTTAAAACAATATGATATATGGTTGGAATATCCAATATCAGTTCAGTGCCAAGTGGCCTGCATTACAGATCATATAACGGAAACACTTGGAGCAGTCTCAAGGATTGAATACCAGAATGTGGAAGCTTATGGTAATATTACTATTTTTTGTAGTGCCCCAGGCGCTGCTTCAAACTACAAATGAAGACCTGGAGACATCAGATACACGAACTACAAACGAAGACCTAGATATATCAGATGCAAGAACCGACAATAATTTGTGCATAGTGCATGATATCGTCAGCTATACGATAACTGAGGAGACGCCATTGGAGGAGTACGGCAGATTTGCAGAGCACTATAGAAGGCTGGGCATTGAGGGGGCCATGCGTGATGTCGTGAGTACAGATAGTTGAAATATTCAATCACATGATGATATAATGTACATATTATTGCATAGACTAAAAATAAATTGGAGCCTTATCGGGTCTGCTGTCCGGGCTACTTCAAGGCCAATGACGAAACCTGCCAACCAATTTCGATCACAACTGCGATGCCAACCACAGAAATCATCGAAAGTTCAACTCTGACCAAAAGGATTGCAAACAGTTTAGATGCATCAGATGTCACGCGTTCGTTCGATTACGAAAAATGGCGTATCTATGGAATTGGGATTATGTTGAGTTTAAACGCTATAATATTATTTATATATTACGTCTATTTATATAAAAAGAAATCAGCTTTGAGAAAAAGGAGGAATGAAACAGGAAACGAGCTTATCGACCGCAATATTTTGTATTCCGAATAAAAATATAACTTCATTGTAATATGGATATATGAATTGTGTATTGGGCTCAATATGGTACAAACATTTAGATTGTTAATAATTTCATAATATAATATAATAACTACTATTATAAGTAGCTTAAGATTTATTTTGAGGGATTGAATATATAATTCTTTTCTCATATCAGACAACTTCTACAACCGCTCAAATTATTCATGCATATGACTCAGTTCCTTTTGTTTCAAAGATTTGCGAAGCACAACTGTATATTCAAAAAACAAAATAACAAAATAACAAATAAAGGTTAAAAAACAGCTGCATTTATATCTCCATCCCACCGATGGATCAGTTCAAGTTTACAATTTGAAAAATCAAATTGTTCAATTCTGAAATGTATACTTTTTACCGATTCGTAGATGTGCATTTTAGATTAATTGGGTTTTGTTTGATAATTGCTCAAGCAAGTTATAGCTATCATAATATAATAGGGTTTTTACGAAGTACTACCGAAATGTCATGCCCCGAGTGGGTGTAGGTATACAATATTCTGTCAATCTGTAGCGCAAGTCAACAGTAGCCCATTGTGCTCTAGGGGTAATACCTTATATGCTATGCCCCTCAATGGAAGTAGATATATTTTTATACCTTTTCGAGACTTGTCTATCTTCAAAATTTTACTACTTTAGTAAACGAATCTGTACATAAATATAAATTAAAGATGTGCTTAGCCTTGTGGTTGTTTTGCCAAATGGTGAGACGAACATTCATTATGGCTTAACAAATAAACTCATGTGGATTTGTGAAGGAGCATATTTAAGTAAAGCTGCTCGCTAGATTTAAAACATTATTTTCGTTCAGTTTTATACGCTTTTAATTAGCCATGTGCAAAATTTTGGTACTTCTACTCTCCATACAAAGTGTTCACGCCCAGATGGCGAACTCTACGAAAGATTCTCATTTGTGTACCAAAAATGTCAATGTGCCGTACACAGTAACTGAAGTTTGCTGGCATTCTGAAGGTCTTAAATGTGCTAGGCGAAATGAACAAGCTGAACAAAGCAGCTCCCATCCAAGACAGACCAATAGTGCCAATGGCCATGTGAATAAGTGCAAAGCTAAGTCGCAGCTGTAACGTTTTTGCATTTATTCTTATCGTAATCATTTTATATTCTTAAAAACAAAATATTTTGTTTAACATATATATTTTTGAAATAAATGTTGCAATAAAGACAGCAGTGTTAGTTTCTGTTTTTGAGTTAGTTCTTAGGTAGTTTTTTTGAGTTACACAAGCTTAAAGCAAAATTAAATAAAGATTTATATTTTTAATATCAATAAAAAGGGCTTCATAAAATAGAACATTTGAAGACATTCATGCTCACGAGGCGTAATCTGGAACACAAATTTTTACAATCATGATCATCGTTGTTTTTAAAAAGCATATTGACTAATGACTCTGTCAGTCCATAAAACGCACCAAACAACAAATTTTTGAGGATGTAATAATGTTTCAACAAAACACTGTGAATTATCCTCATTTGGAAATTAAATGAATACAATATCAAGTCAAACTCAACAAAATTAAACTTTTGAAAGCGTCTGGTAGAAAAAATAAAGCAGCAACTCAAAGTTGTTAAAATAGTAATTAAAGCCGTAATTAATGACTCATATGCATAAAAAAAACCTTAGATGAATATAACTATATAGGTATGTAAGTATCTATTATAAAATATGTAAAATAATATTGTCCTATCTTTATATATATCAATAAAAATGTTATATATATAACTATATAAAACAAAAGCTGACAATTTATTGAAAGAGTTTTCTACATTATTTTTATATATTGTTAAAAAATATTTAAATTATTTGTAACACTCTACGTAAAGAAATCTGACGTTTCTCTGTGAGAAATAAACAAAAAAAATATATAAAAATTATATAAATATTTTAAGTCTTCAATAGACAACGACAACAAAATATGTATGTCAATTATTCATTGCAAAGCTTTTAAAAGCTCCAAGCACTTGGATCTGCTGTCAAGCTGTGGTGAGTTTTTATTGATATTACAAATGTACGCCAGACAAAGCTCAAGTACGAGTCAAGCTTTATGTACATTTACCAAGGGATAAGTGGAAAAAGTATGCAAACAACTTTAAATATCCCACATAGTTATAATGATAAGTTTTGAATTTGTAAGCCCCAGAATATGCAATTCATAAAAAATATATATCACTCAAAGAAGTAAGAGCATTACACTCTTACAGTCCAAAAGTGAGACATAAAATTTATAGTTAAAATTGCGACTACCAGAAAGATCGTTTAATTTTTGGTCACAAAACTGTGAGCTTCAATATTTTTGCGTATTTCTAGTTAGAAAAAAAAACAGTAATATCTCATAAATAAGCGTAGACTGCATGCTTGAAAAACCCAGCTCGGTCGGGGCGCACAGTATCGCTCAGTCGGGCACTGACGAATTCAACTTTCTTTATTTGTGTTTTATAATTGCTCTTGCGAAATGCAGCATCCAGCTTTATCGCTGTACAAAGCTGAACTTGATGCTTCTAGAGGAACGACAAAAGTTTCGTGGAATTGACTTAAATATAACATTTTGTTTTTGTTTTAAGTATGAAAAAATTCCAATCCAAAAAAATTTAATATTCCAATAATTTTTGTTTGTATATTATATAGAACAATATTTTGCATTTTTAAAAATAATATTTTAAATTCACTTCCGTAGCAGTGCTCACAGTTCACAGTGATAAGCTTCTTAGTAGTCACATGTATACATATATATGTATATAAATATACATTTTTTTATATATATGGTGAATAAAAGATTGCTTTTTATGCGATTATAAATGTTTTCAAATCCAGTCGCGTCTTTTTAGTTGCGTTCTGTAAGTGCGGCAAAACGGTAAAGCATATTGAAAGCTTTAAGACTCTAATCATGTGCAGAACTCAGAGTTTATTATTATGCATGATTTGGATAATACTCGCGGCTAGCTATGAGTCTATTCCAATTTCAGGCTACGACAATGCATGTCTGACTACCGACCTCAACTTTGCATTAGGAATATTGATCAATACAACGTACGACAAAGTAAGTGCAAGGTCTTCAGTTCCTAAGAAAGAATTCTCCTATACAGGGTATATTCATTTAAACAATTCACTTGCTACCAGCATCTGTATTTTCTTCTGCAAAAATAATAATTGTGTACAGTGAAAACTCATCTTGACGAATGTTCGCTCAGAAGCTGATAAGAAAAAATTCCAGATTTATGAATGGACTTTAATCACGCAATATCTCTTCAACGACTTCAAATTTTGATTGCGATGTTTGGGCCATTTCTATAAATGTGCCGACGCGAGGGCAGCTTTCGAGTCGCCTCGAGCTCAATGCTCTATCTCTCTATGCGTCAACTTTGACTGCAACTACGAGTAGCATGTCAACTGCCTTTAGCAATAGCAATGATGCATTCCAAAAGGTCACAGTAGTCGCTGGATCAAATCGAGCTATCCGTCAAGGCAGTGTTCACTCTATTTTCACATAACCCACTTCCATAGTTATTATCTAGCTACCGAGCACTCTTACATCTCATAATTTCTCTTTCACAGTCTACCATCTTTCAATGCTGTCCCGGCTATGCAGGACCAGTCGAAAACTGCCAGCCCGTTTGCTCTAAGGATTGCGGACCGAATGCCTTCTGCAACTGGCCCGAGCATTGTGCTTGCATAGATGATGATTATGAACAGATCAAGGGAGGTCAGGGATGTAAACCAAAGAACAATCGAAACCTATGCGTTGGCAAGGAATTGACAATTGAGAATCCTAAGATTACGTTTAGGTCAAACAGTATAATCGATCAGGTAAGCTAGATTAGATTCTGATAAATTCTTAATCACATAGCCTATTTTTAAGGTGCCAATGATGTGCTGTGAAGGCTATGAAAGGCTGAACGAGTCGGAGCCCTGTCTGCGCAAAGTAGACAAGCATGAGTGCACAGTACCGATTCAGGTCGCAATGAAGCAAACGGATATTGAAGAATGGAAACTTTGGGATCTGGAAACGAAGGATCCCAATGCAACTTTGGTAAATTTCTGTAGCTAAAGGAATTAAGAGAATGTCAGAGAAAGCTTTATCTATTATTTCTTTATTTAAAAAGCCACTGACAAAAACGGAAATGCGTCGAGTTTGCTGCGATGGCTACAAAAGACAAACCACAAACGGCCCTTGCTTGAAAGAGCCTGAAGTTCGTAAGATCTAGTTGTTCTTGTAGATCTTTTACTTAAGAAGTCTATTTAGATTACCGAAATTGTTGACTCGAGTGCGGAATGGCTAGACAATTTAAAAAAAATATATGAAGATTTATATACAGAAAACATCGTAAGTTTGCAAATATATTCTTACGAATTGATGTTAATTCAAAGTTTACTCCACCTACGAGGATTCAACTTCGGTACCGGTGGATGATGAAAGTCCAGAACAGTTTGTAAGTAAGCTCAAATATATCTTCTTAGAACTTCCCTACTAATATTTCGATAGGCCACAGAAATTATTGACACGCCCGATGGTACGCCAACGACCGTAAGTAAGAAAACTAACTTAAATATATAATATTAACTAAGCAATTTCTAAATATTGCAAGATGGAAAATGAACTCTCATCGACTACCGATCCCACTTTGCATGCAAAGGAGGTGGAAAGTGAAGCCAAACTGTCGGCGGATTGGTTGAAGATTAAAGAAGCATTTGACCGTTTTGATATCGCATTCCCCACTGATCTGCTCGTAAATATATGCAAATATATATAATTGATAATAGGTGCTATAAAACTATGTAAATATTGAAAGAAAACAACAGTGGAAAAGGAAGTCCCATCGCCTAAAGATCCCAATTTGTGTACAAGGGAAGTGGAAAGTGAGACCACACTGGCGCCGGATTGGATGAAGATTAAAGAAGCATTTGATAGTTTCAATATCCCATTCCCCAATAATCTGTTTGTAAGTAATTCCAATAAATTGTTAAGAATTTCAAATGACATCCGACCAAATTTCAACAGCCGAAAAAAATCGAAACATTCTGCTGCACTGGCTACGCGAAGAATGACAATGAAGACCTCTGCAAGCCCATGTGCCAACCCGATTGTGGGGAAAATAGCGATTGCAAAGAACCAAATAAATGTGTATGTCGAAAAGGTTTCCACCAGAAAGCAGGCAATGATCTCTGTGTCCCAGATTGCTCGGAGCAGACCAAGCCAGAACACAGTAGCTGCATTAGTCCTGAGGCATGGGAATGTGATTTAGGCTACATCAAACTGCCCAAGCCCTATGGAGTAAAGGAGTTCGAATGCCAGCCACATTGCGTGCACAGCTGCTCCAGCTATGGCAAGTGTGTGGCGCCCAATGTATGCGAGTGTCTGCCAGGCTATAAACCCATTTCGATTGGCTATGATGAAATTAATCAGATGTCGCTTGAGAGATGCCATGCCATAGATGGCACAGTTGATACAAATATTAATCAAGGGATTATCTATCGAAATACATAGGATCTCATATGCTATAAATATTTTCTTTGAAATTACAGTAAATATAATTATATTATCCACTATATATATATATATACATATTTTTACATATGTAACATGTGTCTCAAATAAATTATAAATGTATCCGACAAATAATGTTCATAAATTATGGTGAAAATACAAGAATGTTGCAGTCGATCAGTTTACGATTCAAGAACAGTTAAATCGATTTGGGTAAATTTTAAGAGGAAGTCTGCAGCAACTTAACTGTTAAAATTTGGAGGCATAGTTTCAAAACCGTGAAAGGCTCTCAAGTCAAACCAATATACTCTTTTCGCTTCGCGAACGAGCATAAAATATAAACAGCAAAATAAAACTGGTCTACCTTCTTACGCACACGAACATTTAGCTTTCGCACACATAATCTCGCGCTACTTTGGACAAGCGAAAAGCGTGAAGATTATGTAAGATTTAATGCAGTTATGAGCATTGACTTTAAGTGCTGTCCGCTCAACGCCCAAATGTAGCTTAATTAATTGCAATGACAAATTGAATCCAACCAAAAAAAAATCAAACAAATAAAGAATTCAAGTTCGTTGCCTAAGTCTTTCGTTTCTTTGGAGAGAACCTGTTGGCTCTGTTGACCAACGTACAGCATTGATCTTGTGCTAGGCCAGCGGGAATTGAACTCAGTGTGTGTGCTTGTGTGTGGCATGTGGCAACGGAGAATGGCACGACCCAAAAAGCTAAAAAAAAAAAACAAAAAACAAAACAACAAAAGCAACGAAAGCAAAAGCTAAAGCAAAGTGAATGCAACAAACTGAGACTCGCAGCCGCAATCAATTAGCGCTATGCGATGACGTCGACGCTAACGCTAGCGCCGCTGTTGACGTCGTGCTGCCACATGTGGCGATTGCGTCATGGCGCCAACCAGACCGTCTACTAACGGTAATTGGCTTGCAATTTCTTTTGCGGCAACTTTTCGGTTGCAAAGAAATTTGCCAAAAAAATTACATGTTGCAATGACTGCCAACGCGCGAGACAGAGACGGCGTGCTTAAAAGCCAGCTGTAATTTATCAACATTTATCAACGGTGCTTTTCTTACAGATTGTTAAATGCAATTTGGCCAATACAAATTAGATATATAGCGAGTGTAATAGGACATCAATTGAGATAATATCAAATGAATCTGTTTGATAGTTCATATCATTTATATAAATCTTTTCTAATAATAAATAATATTAAAATTGAAATTTTTATTTTTCGAAAAGTTCTTTTTACTTTAAAATATAAATTAGTATTATATTTTTGTTGACTAAATTTTCTTTAGTCCAGATTTTATAGTTTTTTTTTTTGTGTTTTGACAGTAAAAATGTTATACATACATACATACATACATATTCTTAAATTTTTCTCAAATAACTTTTATTGATTTACTAAAATCTTTAGAATTTTATAAATAATAATAAATAATAAGATCTTCCTCATATATGAAACAATTAAATTCATAGCAAATTTAATATTTATTACATTATAGAAATTTGTGAAGAAAATTCAAAATATAATATATATTTAAATTTTAAACATAAAAATATTCATTAAATCTTGCCAAGATATGACTTTAACTGTGACAACAAAATTTCTACTTTATAATATTTAAATATATATATATTTTTATTAATTATTATTTTTATATATACGCACTTTTTATACTTTTTCTTATTTCTTGCTGTCTTCATAGAGCTCATTGCTTACTTTGCGTCATTTGCCCACTTCATTGATTTTAATTATAGACGCTATCTCGGAATATATTTCTTTAATTCGGCCCGTTGGCCTGTTTTTTATTTTTCCTAGTTCCAGCTCTCTGCCATTTAATGCATTTGTAATGTATTACAATTTTTCATTTCGTTTTCGGTCGGCTTAAAGGAAGTGTTTTTTGTGGTTTTTGACATAGGAAAAGCCATAAATTTAATGCCTGTCTATTGCTCGTATAATTAACTATATTTATGTGCAAACGCTTTGTAAATAATGAGACAGTTAACACACATTCTGAGTTGAGTCGAGTGGAGAGCCGCGTTGTTGTTGTTTGGCAATTTTCCTTTAGTTTTCCATGTCTTCTATTCAAAATCGTTGAAAATGTTTTATTTGTTGCAGCAGCTTGGGCGATTGCTTAATTATTTTGTGTTTTATTTGCGCCTTTGTTAATTTACGAACATTTTAATGCTGCCTAATTGCAGTTCGCTCTATATATATGTATTTTTTCGGTTTAACTAGCATGGGTTGCTTAATTATATGTGAGCTTAAAGATATGTCGAAATGAAGTGTGAATATAAAAATAATATTAATATACTAATATATAAATGTATACATATAAAAATATATAAATATATAAATATGTAAATATATAAATATATAAATGTATAAATGTATAAATGTATAAATGTATAAATGTATAAATGTATAAATGTATAAATATATAAATATATAAATATATAAATATATAAATATATAAATATATAAATATATAAATATATAAATATATAAATATATAAATATATAAATATATAAATAAATAAAGGAATGTTTTAAAAATCTTTTCTCAATACATAATCACTTCATATTTTGTTTTAATATTTATATATATATATATATATATATTACTTTAATAATATATCCATAACTATTTTTTTTGTTTAATTTATAAATTAAGTAACATATTTTAATTCTTAAATATTTTAAAAAATAAAAGATTTTATAATTTTGCATTTCTTTTATATTATATATATTATAAAAATAAATTCAGTGCTCCATAATTTATTTCATATTTTATAGCGTATAACTCGCAACTAACTTCAAAGTCTTTTGGACAAATTCAACTTAATTTTCAGCTGCCTCTCTTGCTTCTGTTAATCCAAAAACAAATTTATGTACGCCTCAGTGCAGCCAAAAGCAGCAATAGAAGTAAAATAAAAAAATACATGTCCGAAACAAAGGCAACAAAATAGATTTACAAAATGTACAACTAGACTCGGCTACATAGCATAATATTTATTCAATTTACGCAATTTACACTCGCAGAAACAACAACAATAGCAACTACAACTAATGCTTAGTATTTGATTGCCAACTGTGTTTCTGTTTGTTGTAATTATGAGCTCAAAAATCCGCCTCAATAACAACAAAATGGGAAATCTAGATGCATAGTTAAAAATAATTTAAGACCCACAAATGAACTGAAATGTAAATAAAGCTGAAATGGGGACAAGCACAATCTGTGTCTGAAATTTGGCTAAGTATATCTTCTAAGTTTTATTTTTTGCTTTGTATGCAAATTGCATGAGGAGTAAGTCAATGGGTCAGAAAAACCCGGAAAGCTACAGACCAGACATCCATATCTATTACAGACCAAGCAGCTGTAATGGCCACGGCAACGGCCACAGCTCCAGAGGCGGAATTACTTATTATGTTAATAAATTGTTGCTATTTTTTGTTGACTGGTTTTTCTGGCTCGCAAAAGATTTGCATAGATTTGCAGTTGCGCTCTGTGGGCCGCTGGCCACTTCCTTATTTATCAGCGGCCAGCCTGAAGAGAGACAATCAATTGACCAAAGCCACAACTTGATTAAGTGCAAGCACCTGTCCACTGCCACGCCTCCGTGCGAACGGCTCAATTGGGCGCAGCATTCAACGGTGCGTGACAATTTGGCCAAGTTAACCGCATAATGCGAGATGCTCATAAAAAAAAAAAAAAACAAACAAAAAACACAACATTTGGTTTGAAAGACGCGCCACAAGAGTTCAAATGCTTTTGCCATTGACCTCTTTTCTGGCTGCTACGTGTCGAGAGAGAGGGAGGCAGAGCGGGGGCATAGCAGCTGCAGCAAACAATTCAATTGCCATGATGATTATCACTTTCAAATCAAATCAACGAACGGGCTTTTACCTGCCTCAATGTCATGAAAGGGAAACTGATTGATCGAAAGGGCTGCGATTGCAGCTAACCTGCTGCAAGCCCATTTGCCCAACAGGTTTTTCTTGGCTCGCTAATTGCGAGCAGAAAAGTACAAAGCATTACAAATAACCAACAAATCAAGCTGAGAAATTGCCAACACTTAAACAATTATTGAATATCCTCTCAAAATTTATTCTGTTACAAAATTTCATATTTTTGGTATGCTTCAAATGAAGTTATAAGTCTAAGATTCCTGAGAAGACTATGTGATTACTTATGCTATATTGTACGATATTGACAGTTATAATAAGTAGTGTGCAGCTTAAAATTATTTGAAAAATATATAGTAAGTTTTTTATTAATTCGCTTACTTTCAAGATTTAAGGCTTGAGAAAGAAAAACGTAAACCTTTATATAGACATTTCTGGAAACATTTCATAAGTATTGCGATATATCTGCTTTAAAAGTAGCCATATACAATTTTTTGAAAATACTCCCAACTATTTTAAGCTCTGATTTTAATGGACATTGTATTTTAAATAGTTATATATATATATAGATATAGCTAATTTTTTACATTTCCACTACTTTATTTATTTATTTTATTATTATTTTTATTTTTATTATTATTATTATTTTTTTTATTATTATTATTATTATTATTATTATTATTATTAATTCAAAATGATCGAGTATATCGAGTAAGTGTCCAATGCTCAAATTGCAAATTATTAGAAAAACGATTTATATCGGTCTATAGAATGTGGTATATAAATAATATGTATATTTATCTAAACATGCTTAAATATATATCCCTAACTCTATAAAAATATCTATACAAATATTCTATTAAAAACAATATTGATTTAGTATTTATTTATATAAAAATACATCTTCAAGCGTTAATTGGTTTCATTGTGCTCCATTTGCTTTTGATGCATTTCATGATTATGAAGCAAGTGTAAAAGTAATCGCGATTTTTCCAATTACTTGCCAAAAAATTACAAATAATAAAAGCTGGTACAATCCATACCAAGTCACAGACACAGTCAGCGTCACAGTCACAGTTACTTGGGCACTTTGCCAGACAGTTAGCTTGGCTAACTAACCGCAACAGCTGTGCCGGACGACCTTGACCAGCAACGCAATGAACCCTCAACGGGTCGGGCGAACATTAAAGTGAGCAGAGGAAGAGGAAGAGGAAGAGGGAGAAAAAACGAAATTCATGGGAACTACCAAAAACTGGAACCGTTACAAAAGCTTAAAGAAAAGACTTTTGTTACTGTCACATAAAATGTCATAACTGTCAAGTTTCGACTGGACTCAGCCTCGTGCGAGAGATCAGCTGCCAACAATTGGTACGATATGGAAATAGGATGTCAAATGACGTCCAACACTTGCCAAAAGACAATTAATTGTTACACAAATCAACGTTCAAAATAAATGGGAAAATGCAAATGCGATTTGTGAAGATGCCGCCAAACAGAAACGAAATAAATAAAATATATATGATTAATCGACACCTGCCTTACATTTGACTCTATTGTTGACACTAAAGATTTATAAACTAACCAAATCTACATACAAATATTCATGATAATTTACGCAAAGCTGCCTATAGAGGCATAGATATAAGACAAGGTCAGGTCGCGTGACGCTTTCAAATATGACAGACATAAAATTAATATGTGAAAATAAAAGATATCTTTATTTACATATACATTCATATATATGTAATATATAAATTTGAAGCTTGTAATTAATTCAAGGAAGCGTGTGTAATTGTGCTGTTGGAATTAAGACAATGACGCTTATAAGCACTCGTAGCTGTCTATCAAGAGGCAAACAAACAAACACTTGGCGCCCCCATGCGAGCTTATGACATAAGATGCGGCACGTCTAACGGCAGCCTCCAATTGCTCTCTCACAGTCTCTCTCTCTCTCTTACTCTTTCACTCTCAACAGCTCTCAGTCACTGTCTCTCTCCCTCTTTAGTTGCGACTTGTTGCAGGTATATCGAACTACAATATGTGGTCAAGACATGCAAGCAATGCGAATGAAACTAAATCGAAAGTTGCATGCAACAAGCAGGCTTAAGTATGTGAGTGCATGATAGATACCCTGTAAGCTATAAAGTTGAAGTAGCAGAAAATATTTTAAAAAATTTAAGCGATTCTCTACTTGGCTCTTATAGACTTAAAAATAATTTATAGAACTTGAAATTTGGAATCGATATTTATCGATTTTTCGTTGATTAGATTAATTAATCAAAAATAATAATGAATTCAGTTAAGTTAAATATGTACCAAAAATAAATACAAATTACTATTAAAAATTTTCTTCCTGCATTGCCAATAGTTCTCTATCTGATGTTCCCAGGTCTATAATCAGCCTTCAGCTGCTTCGCTCTGCAGGCGTACACAATGTACTTCACAACAATATAGCCCATTCGCTAAAATTGTAATGAGTATTTTAGCTGATCCTATCGTAACAGCTGTGCCACTCGCGCTGCGCCGCTCTCTCCGCTTCTCAGACATGCCGCACAGCGTATTCGAGACCCATTGACATAATAACGAGGAAGGTAACCAAAGTAAGACTTTAAACTCCAGCTGCGACACACAACTGAGGCGTCAATTACAGCGACCCACAATCTGAAATTGAAACGAGTTGCGAATGTGTTGCCCCAAACATGTTGTCAGTGGGTTAGGTTATGGTTGCTGACCGCACGCACACACACACACACACATATACACAGGCATGTGTGACACAACAAATTCACAGTCAAATGACCGAGTGACACACTCTCTCACTCTCGCTCTGACTCTCACTCTCATTTCGGAGTGCTTGTGGCCAGCTGGTCAAGTGAAGGTAGCTGCAAATACGAAAGTAAAAGGATTGCAGCACTCAACACAATTGAAATTGCAATTGGGATTGGTTTTTGTGCCCAAATGACAGATGACAGCCTGCATTCGTGATGCTGCTTAGGCGCGGCTCAGAGAGCATTAAAATATCAGAAAGAAGGAGAAACTAATTGCAATGAGATCGATGCGGACGCGAGCTTTCTGTACTGTGAAACCCTAAAACATATGATATATGATTATGATATATGATTATGATATATCCATTTTGGGCTGATTTAAACATTTTTTGTATATTTCTTTCTATTTCTATAACAAATAATCGCTATATAGATATTATTCATATTTAAATGAATGATTTATATATTAATATATTAATATTAATATATATAATAGAGCTATCATATGTATATCTATAAGCCTTAAATAAGTATATCTATCATATATCATATATTTATATTTTTTATATATTTCTATCATAAGTCAACTTTATTTAATCTATACAATCTATACAGCTTTAATGGTATTTAGCATTTCATCCACATAGCACCTATCCAAATATATTTGTCATACGTTTTTAACACTGAAAAACTAAGTGCATCTAACTATTCTTCAGTCTTTGACTTGTTATTGATTATATTATATACATTTAGTATATAGTATACAATAAATATATAGTAAACAAAAGTACTCTTTGACTTATTCTTGCTTGAATTTTGTCAATTTGTACTTAACGAATTATCGATATTTGCATAGATCTTGAGCAAAAATCAAAGCTATTATAATATATATGTTTAGATTTAATTTATGCTTATATTTTATAGGGTAAAAGTAGGCCAAAAGCAAGAGAACTTTTTACAAAAAAGGACTAAAGGCTGAAACCCTACAAACTGTCTCTAATTTAAAAGGCAATTTATGTATTTGATTACATGTAGTGGCAGAGTTCTAATAGCAATTTCAATTTCTAATAAAAGCTATTAATACTTATCATATAATTAAATATATACTTAGCATGCTTAGCTATTTTTGTAGTTTCCTCGCATTCGGGTCTTATTCAATTGCCCACAAATAAATGTGTGTTTTTATAGTTGTAAAAGACTTGAGAAACCACCAAAGCAGCAGCAACAGCAACAGCAACAACCACAGCAACAACAACAACCAAACAGCAGCTGTCGGTAGTCGAATTAAACAGCAAAATGGCACGCATCCATAGAGCTGCCTGTGCCCGCTTCCACCAGCCCCCATTCCCCTCAAGCCAGCCTCTCTCACCTTGCCGCCAAGTCTCTGATTGCAACTGCTACATTTCAGCGCCGCTTGCCACTTGGCTGCCTCGAGTTCGCGCCTCCGAAAAAAGCATAAAAAATAAAAAATAAAGAGAAAAAATAAACTAAACAAGCAACTCGACTCGACTCCGACCGAACGAACCATTCACCATTCGCTGCATGTGTTTTGGGGCGATTGCGATTATGATTATGCTATAGTATATAGTAGTATTATTGTTGTTGTTGTTGTTGTTGTTGCTGCCGCTGCTAGACATCGGGCTTACAGTCTTCGTCGTCTTTGTCGTCGTTTCATTCATTCGCTTTGCCTTTTTGGCTGTTAGTTAGAGTATAAAAGTTCGGGCTGGCGCTGCAGTTGGCATCATTAAACCGTTAACCATCGAACAGTGTGGAGTGGTACGGAACGTGTATAGAGTTTAGTGCAGCGATTCCTTCCATAATCATAAAAATTAATTAACTAACTCTCAATCTCAATCTCAATACGATTTCGATCGTTCGGGCATCGAAACGGTACACAGTTCGACGGATAACCAATAATCCTCGACAAGGATATTTAACGTCAACATCATGAAGTTGATGGTAGGTATTACAGGATCAGCGTGTGCAGTGTTGTGAAGTGCCCCAAAGAGCTCAGCAAAAAACAAGAGAATATTTAAAACAAAATATTTCAACTTTCTGACTAAATTCTTCTACAAGACCTGAATTGGTAGACAAAATATTAACTAATTTTAAATACTTCATAGTTTTGTATGAAACTATATTAGTGCCAGTCAAAAAATTCGCATACTATGCATACGATTAGCAAACCCAAGACTATCTAAGACTTTTCTTCAAACAACTTTTCTGAATACCAAAATACTGAGAAATCAGTACGCAAATGTATTCTATACTCAATTACAATCAAGAATCAGAAAAGCAATTCAAGCCTTCGCTAGAGACCTCCAAGTTCTGGAGTTTACTCAACCAATCCTTAGCAAATTCTCTTATGTTCGAAAATCCTTTTTCGCCACAACTTTATAGCGTACAGCGACTACGCTGGCTCTGGTGCTGCTGCTGGCCACCAGCTATGCCCAGGCTGGCGAGGAGAAGAGCGAGGCTGCCGAGAAGACGGCAGCTGAGCCGTCTGAGAAAAAGGCTGAGGAATCAGCAGCGGCTGCTGATGATACCACAAAATCGAAACGTGGCCTGCATCATTATGAGGATTACCATCATCATCATGTACCACACTTCCCGGTGCATGAGGAGAAAACTCTGACCGTGATCAAGAAGGTGCCAGTGCCAGTGCCAATCGAAAAGATTGTCCATGTGCCCGTGGAGAAGCATGTACATGTGCCTGTCAAAGTCAAGGTGCCCAAGCCATATCCCGTTGTCAAGCACGTGCCCTATGAGGTTAAGGAGATCGTGAAGGTGCCCTACGAAGTGCCAGCGCCATATCCCGTTGAAAAGAAGATACCCTATGCCGTCCATGTGCCCTATGATCGTCCAGTGCCCGTCAAGGTAGAGCAGTCAGCTGCTAAAAATTTTTACACAGATAGTCTAAAGGCACCTCTATAACTCCTCTAGGTACATGTGCCCGCACCCTATCCAGTTGAGAAGAAGGTCCATGTGCCAGTCAAAGTACATGTGCCCGCTCCTTATCCCGTCGAGAAAATCGTTCACTACAAGGTAGAGAAGCACGTGCATGTCGACAAGCCTTACCCCGTCGAAAAGGTTGTCCACTACCCAGTCAAGGTGCCCGTTGAGAAGCCAGTGCCCCACTATGTGGACAAGCCAGTGCCCCATTATGTGGACAAGCCAGTGGCCGTGCCCGTTATCAAGAAGGTGCCAGTGCCCGTCCATGTGCCCTATGATCGCCCCGTGCCCGTTCATGTTGAGAAGCCAGTGCCCTATGAGGTGAAAGTACATGTGCCCGCACCTTATCCAGTGATCAAGGAAGTGCCAGTCAAGGTTGAGAAACACGTTCCATACCCCGTCAAAATCCCAGTGGAGAAGCCCGTTCATGTTCACATCGAGAAGCATGTGCCAGAGTATCATGAGAAGCACGTCACCTACAAGGAGCCCGAGTTTGTGCACAAGCACATTGAGGAGGAGCACCATTATCATCATCAGGAACAGCACCATGAGCCCATCCATCATTCATCATATTCAGCACCCATTGAGGAGCATCATCAAGAACAAGAGCATGAGGTGGAGCATGATTTTAATGACTATCATGATTATCATTCATATCACGGTTACTAAAATTGGTGAAATGAACATTTCTTTTCTCTTCTCTCTCTCTCTCTTTCTTTCTCACTCTTTCTTTGCAGCATTGAGAAAATCGGTTATGAACGGTAACGGTTATGAGAATGGATATAGCTAAACTGAACAAAACAAAAAAAGAAAAGAAATGAATAACAAAATTACATTCACAAACATTTAGAAACAATCCAAAACAAAGTTCTTCCATATCATACCCAAATACCCAACATTCCAATTCCACAATTGCTATATAGAACGTGATAACGATAGAGATTCTTTGAAACCCTAAAATTTACAATGTGACCAAAATGTGACACGAAACGAACTTACTTAGATTTTATGAACGAACTTTAGCTTAAGCCATAAACAAAAAAAAAGAAAAACCCAAGAAACGTTGACGAAAACATCCCGTGAGAATTGTTATGAGAAATTTTGAAGACGATTAGACTTACACTTTAAGAAACAAATAAGATACAACACATTTGGGCTCAGGCCCCCACACAACCACACAGACTAAGAACAACAACTAAGAGAAAAAGTTTAAGAACTAGACCCTAAAACAACAACCACAACAACACATACACCACATATAAATCGTTCTCATCAGGATAATATATATATTGGATGTGTTGTTGGACTTGGCTGTCACTCTCTCTCTCTCATTCACGAATGATACTACTGGGTACATTTGACGATGTGGTTGCCGCTGCTGTTTTTGTCCTCCAGCTGCGGCTACTCCTCCTTCTGCTCTGGTCCATCCGAACTGTGCACCCGGTTCTGTTCGATTCGATATGATATTTGAGATCTGATATGCGTGTGATAAGACTTCTGTTATAGTGTTTAAGTGTTTAAGTGTTAACATATTAATATACTCGTACATATATCTATACATATAAAGATAGTTAAGGCAGGCGGGCAGCCGTGCAGTCGCCTAATTAAGTCAGTTTGTAAACGAACGTATTGTATTATTTTTGTAATATTTTTTGCTATATAGTTTTAATGCAACCTAAACAACAACTATCTATAGTTTTGCTAAATGTGAAAAGCTGTTGAAACCGATTTATAAAAAGTACTTAATTTACCAAATAATATTTTTTGTCTCTGTAAAAACAAACACACAAACCAACAACAACAAAAAACATTGAAAATGAAGCTGAATATGTTAACAATAAAGACGAGAAGAATCAAGTGATCAAAACTAAAATAAATATGCCTTTTCTTTAAAAATAATAAATAACAAAATTATAAATATATTAAAGAATATATATATATATATATATATATATATATATAAACATAAATTTAAAAAAACATATATATTTTAAAAAAATTTATTATAATTTAATAAATATATTTATATTTATAAAAGAAAATATTTTAAAAAATATTTTTATAAATACTAAATATTTAAATATTAAAAAAAAACGTGAATAAATTAATAAAAAATAGCAAAACTGGTATAGTAAATATTTTGATAAAAAAAATGAAAATATATATTTTCCAACAAAAAACAAAGTCAGAAAATTCAAAAATAATCTTATAAATATTAATAAAATTTAAAACTGAGAATCAATAAATAGAAGAATAAAACATTTAAAGTATATATGAACAGTAAACTAAAAAACAATTTAAAGCTTTTATGAACTTTTTACTCCAGAAAGAAGAAACATTTTTTCTAAAATAAATATTTCAATTATACTTAGAAATAAATATTTATAAAAATGAAAAATATATAAAACAAAAACAATAAAATAAATTAAATTACTTTAAACAGATCATATTTGTATTTTTTTTCAGATTTAATAAAGTTAAACCAAAAGCTAGAAAACGATAAGTTAATCCAAAGCAATTAGTTTTGTCGAGTAATAATTCTTTAAGTTCACTTTAGGCTTGTATCATAATAATATAAAATCATAATTAGAATTTTATTCCACATATAACTTGATTCATTGGGTTTGTCTTTCCTCTACATTTATTCTCTCCTACTATCAGTTAACGCCTACCAAACCTCGCTTAACATAGACCTAAGTCAGTGAGTTGCTCAACTGCCTAACGAAATTGTGCATTATAATGCTTGCGTCCACTGTTATCAAGTCATTTCGCATTATGCAGCCGTTTGGCTTATCTAATTTTCAAAATGGGGTAAACATTGCCTGGCATTCATAATTGCATATTCAAAGTGTCTAAGCAGCGCCCACTGAGAGGGTGATCAACATGTTTATTATTACATTTGCCACACTATGTTTTTATCATTAAGCGTTTCCAAGCGACAACAACAAAAGCAACAACAGCAGCAACGACAACTCGCTGACGGCACTCGCGTCCATTTCCTAGCGTTTATTTTGCGGCCAGGCATTACTTTTTATTAGCATCGACCGCCGAATGGCATGTGGTTGTTAGCTGTGATACCCTGTAGTCTAAGTAGTCAAGTTGGGCATATGGCTATGAAATATTAATAGTAAATAGGTTTACTAAAAACGACATTCTGCTGAAATTTCGTTGTCTAATTTCTTAGTCTTTTCTGATATAATTGATTGATCCTTGTAAGTTCCAGTAATTAGCTAAAAATGATTTTCTTTTATGATTTGCATTCAGCTTATAAGCCCCAAAAGGAAAATAAGATCAAGATCAAAATAAATTAAAATAAAAAATAAATATATTTATAAATCACTAAATTGTCAATTTACAGGATATCTGCTTGCCTTGTCTTCAGTATCAATCAACTTTGAGTTCGGCCTGCGGCTGGCAAGTCTTCGTCTGTGTTGGCGTTGTATATATATACTTATATATATCTAAAGATTAGGTTTCAATTTGCATTTCGGTTTCATTGAAGCTGCAATGCTGCTGCAATTTCCAGGCAAACTAAGTGGGCCATAGATTTATCACGTTTTCCTTAGTCGGTTTGTAGGACATGTGCTGCTAACCGATATTTGAGACAAAAGCACATGCAAAACGTGTTGTGAAACCAAAGCGAAATGAAAAGTGTTCAGAGATCGTTCAGACGTTTAGCCGAAGCGGACTATGGCTCCGTTTTATTACCATATTGAGGCTAACTCTCTTGGTGGTTAGTTGTGGATATCTGGTAGTAGTCGCTTTTGTTTATGTAACTGTAACTCTAACTGTAGCATTTGCAGCTTATGGATTATGCAATAAATAATCAACACACAATAGCCAGTGCCTGCTCGCCTGCCTATTGCTCTTGCTGCGCTGTGTTGTAATCTTTCCCCTAAATAGAATGGCCAGCCATAAAATCTGGCTAATGGCTTTTTCAATTAACTCTTTGCGGGCCCAAATAAAAATGCAGCTCTATAAAAGATCTAGCTATTGTGTTTTGATCTGTAAGCTAGTTGGCAATGACAGCTTAAGTCGGATTAGTTGCCTAAGGGTAAAGCTATTTGCATGAGAAAACGAATTAGCTTTTCGATTAATTTTTTAGGTATAATATTATTGAGGAAAGTTAAGAATTTACAGCTTTTCAATTAAGTACGCGCAATTTAAAAATGTTTCTAATTAATTAATTATGGAAGACTCGCTCGGAAAAGTAGCATTGAGGTGCGCAATTGCCAATAAAATTGAAAAGCTTATAAAAAAAATATAATGCAAATTGTTTTAGAATAAAAAAAAATTAATAAAAAAATTTTTAAAAAATAATGTATTATTAAAACTGAAAAAATATATTCCACAACATTTAATAATAAAAAAGGCAAGCTTTTTTTCTCCAATAAAAACATTAAATATATTATATTAAAAATATTAAATATATATATTGCTATTATTTAATTTAAGCAAAATATATAAATTGCTTAATATAAAAAATCCTTTAGCTAAACTAAATAAAATCCCAAGATTCAATCCACATCGCGCCGCATAACTCACCGAAGCTTTGTCAACCTTGAAAGAGCCCCTTTGAAACGCTGCCAAATGATCAGCTGCCAGCCATGGCGGTTAGCCGTTACGCAACCGTTGCACCACTATGGCTGTCATAATAGTCAACGCCTTGTCTCACATTTAAATAGACGTACAATAAAAGACCATAAAAAAACAAGAAGAAGCGCAAGAAAACAAATGTAAACCGCACAAAGCATTGGCTCAGGCATGGTCAACGCTAATGGGCAGTCATTGACACCGCCGCCATTTTCTAGGGTGGTGCTGGTGGTGCCATCCGTTGCACCATGCGGCGTTTCGCTATTGTGGCACAGAAATTTGCATTTGCATGCCCCAGGAAAAATTAGCTGTCTTTTGCTGTTGTTATTTTCTTTGACTTTTGTGGGTCAGTTTAGACCAGACAATCGAACGACCTGCATATACACTATAAAAAGAAGCATGTGGTGCGATATGTGTGTGTGTGTGTGTGGGTTTTTTCGTAACAGTTACTATTTGTGGCTTTATTTAAATGATGTCAGAGCCAAAGCCAAGCCAGAGCCGCTTTTGGCAGCAGCCATGTGGAAAGTGAATGCGGGAAATATTCGTCGACATGCGAGTTTTTCTTTCTTTCTATCTTTACCGCCCCACCAATAACCATGTGTGTGTGTGTCTGTCTACTGGATTGGTCATTATAAGCCAGTCAGTGGGCCAACTTGTGGCGGCTGGCGGGCTAAGAGGCAGTAGCGACGTCTTGGCAATTCGAATATTGCGACGCGTAATCGCCGCCAATTTGACGGAAAATATTTGAAATGTTGTGCGATTGTCTCTGTGTGTGTGTGTGTGTGTGTAAATTGTAATCGAAAATAGCAAAATTAATAACAAGCTTTTGTTTGTTTCGAGTTTTAATTGCTGCATATGCGTTATGCGGCAAATTAGATAAGAGAAACGAACAATTCGTGCGGTAATGCAATAAGCCATGTAATCAATGCGTCTCAAATGGAAGAAAGATATGAATGCATACAGGAATATGCGTAAGAGCTTAATCTTTGGCTTTTCAGGAAGGTTAGATGCAAGAGAAGAGACGTTCGAGGTGGGGAAAGGCATTAAAGAACTGGAAAACTCCAGCAACAATTCTGAGAGAGCAATATATATGTTTCAAGCAACAGAATAATTCAAAAAACAAGTACTCACTTTATATAGGGTATATTAGCTGGTATATGATACTTGGCACCCAAATCGAAATCCTTTTCAGAGCGCAAAACAGGCGGCTTTATGCCGGAATACTTTTCGCTGCAAATACCAATCAAATAAGTATAAATAAATCCAGATTAATTGTAAAGCTTCTCAAGTTACCGCAAATTCCAATAATGACAATTCATAACGCGCTTATTGGCATTGCCGCTGAAGACGTCGTAACGCCAATTATCCAATGCCAAGGCGAAGGGCAGAAAGGCCACCTAGGGGCATATAAAAACAGTTTACATTAATATATATATATTTATATAAAATGCACACTCACCTTATCAATAGCCATGGTGAATAAGTAGTTAATATCATAGCTGGACTCATCCAGGGAGCGCTGCAGCAGACCCAAAGTTTGCAAATGCTTTGGCGTGGAGACGGATAGGCCGATGGCATCGCCCACTGCCTGATGAAAAGCCGGATTGGCGCCGTTGCGAAAAATTTTGGGCAGATGGCGATACTGCAGAAAGTACTGTATGTGCGCCATCTCATGGTGCACACTGACCAAACTGCGCTGATTGATGTCCGTGCACATTTTCACACGAAAGTCGTGACGATTGCAAAAGTCCCAGGCAGATGGCTCGCAGAGGACGCGCCTATCTAGCGGCTGCTCAAACACTGAATTCCTGTAGAAATCCGGGCCCACAGCTGACATGTTGATGGACGTAAAGAACTCCTCGGCCAGTTGGAACATTAACAACGGCGTATAGCCCTGCTCCACCATGCGCGGCGTCACATCGATGAGTTTGCGACCCGGATACGGTATTAAGATGTCCAGCACGTTCGACCACGACTGCCCATACATGTTGCCCAATATATGCGAAGGTATGGGCGCAATGCGATTTATACGATCCGGTCCATAGTAATCCCTTAGCTTGCGACGCACATACGAGTGCAGACTTTCGTAGAGCGGACGTATCTGTTCCCACACAATGTCAATATCCTGGCGAAAGTTGCCCGATTCGTAGGCTAGGAACCAGTACTCGCCGCCATTGCTGACGTCTGTAAAATATTCCAGCTTTATTTAAATTTCAAATATATTTATATTTAAATTTATTTACTGTTTGCAGCTGCCACGTCCTGCATCACATCAATCAGTTGCTCGTAGTTATCGCGCATGCCACGACCCGCCTTGCGGTGATACTCTACCCAAGTGTGCTGCAGCTCATCCCAGTCCCTACTCTTGGCCATAATATCCTTGAGATGTGGTATATAATGCAAATCGCATTGAAACGGCTGCTGATAAGCGCAAATGCTGGCATCATTATACAGAAAAAGCATTTCATTTAACAAGCGATTGTACTGTGAAGCAAAATAAATTTATTTAAGTTTATTTTTGGGCTTGTATATAGTGTAGACTTACTCTATCTAAAACGTCCAGGGTTAGCGAATTGGGTCCCACTTCAGATTGCAGCATGAGCTGTCTATATAAACGACGATCGAATATGAGATCCTTGTTAATGCGCTTCGATTGTTCGGCTGTAATGCGCTGATACTCCACATAGCGCTGCTGGGCGTTTAGCTGCGAGAAATGAGTGAAGTTGTTATGAATAGTTAATATAAATGGAATTGATTATGTCACATATTAAATCAGATTAAACTAATAGAGTGCATCATCTAGCCTGTCAGACCCTAACACACCAAAAGCTTATATTTATTTCCACTAAAAATCAAATTTGCCTTAATCACATTAGGTTTTGACCCAAAAACGTGCTGTAAAAGTCTCAGAGTGCATTTGACATTGGCAAATTGGCCTGAGAACTTTGCCAGGCAAACGACCTTGACTGTGTTGTGTGTGTCTGCCGTGTGTATCTGTGTGTGTTGGCCACTTCAAGCCAACTGCCAAGTTGCATAGACTCAAGCTGCACGCGATCTGTGCGGCAACAACTCGGCTTCAACTACAATTACAATTTCAAGGGTATGTGCATGTACGTGCATACCCCACAATCAAGCTTACCGCTTCCGTTTGCGTATAATCGTTGACGTTCGTCTCGAAATTCCATTGAGCTGCCACATTGGCGGTGCACTCGAGCGAACCCTTTTGATCTGTTTCGACTAGCAAATTGCGCAGCTTCTCCAGCTCCTGCTGATAGCGACGATCCTGCTGATAGCGCTGACGTTCCTGATAGCCCTGGTTCAAATTGAATCGATCCTGGTTGGATTGATAGGGATTCTGAAAGCGATTGCGATCGTTGCCAACAAATTCCACATTGGGATTATTAACGTATGGATCATTCAGGTTGTCGTAGTTGGAATTAACGTTAGCATTGGGTCCATTATAATTATTGTAGTTAGGCTGATCGTTGAAGCTGCCATAGTTGCGTTCTGTGCTGCTCGATGTTGGCCCATAATTGTGATTCGCATAGCGATTATCTTGGCCACGATTCACTTGCTGATCCGCACTGAAGGGTGAATCATTGACGCGATCGCTAAAATTCAATCGAGGTGTGGGATAGGCGTAGCCCAATCGCATGCGTTCATCGTAGGTCTGACCGTACTGCAAATGAGATCAATTAGAATTGGTTTCTTAATTCATGAATAAATGTATAATTACTCACCCTAAAGTCGTCTAGTCCATCATCGCTGCTACTGCCGCTGCTCCCATCTCCAGTCTCCGAATAGGGTGGCCCATAGCGCTGGCTGCGATCGCGATCGGCTCTCAGCTGGGCGGGAGTTGTTGCCACATTGGGCGTGTAGCCATTGTAGAAGATTTCTGGCTGTGGTGTAGGCAAATTAAGTTGGGGATTGGCATGACCCATACTCCACAGTGTGGAGCATATGATAAAGAGACAATGCCACATATTCGTTTATCATGCAATGTGATCTATATATATATAAGTATATATATTTAACACACTTTCAAGGTCAGCGCGCAGTGCTTATTAAATCTTTCACAAGCAATTAACAATTTTAATTACAGTTTGTTTGACATTATCTTAAACGCATAAATAGCTCATGCAGGCTATATACAAAATAGCTGATCACGCGAAGAATTAACAGTTGCAGGGCACAAAGCAGCTTGTAATGTAGAACTGTCAAAAAATCGTGTTGACCTTGAAGAAAAAACTTTGAACTTTTTTTTATTTTATTTTTTTTTTATTATTTTATTTTATTTTTTTTTTTTTTTTATTTATTTATTTATTTTTATTTTATTTATTTAAAATAACATTTATTTATTTTAAATAACTTATATTTATTTGTATAACTTTTATTTAATTTAATAATTTTTATTTCTTTTTATAGCTTCTATTTATTTTAATAAGTTTTGTGTATTCATTTTTCATTATTTTATTAATATTTAATTTGCTTAATTCTCATTTTATTTGGGAAATATTCGATATTACAAATATTAATGTTCAGAACACAGAAAACTTCAGAGATTTCTCATTATTTTTTCTCTTTTCTTAAATAAACCACTCTGATATAGAGGTATATCAATTATTATTTTTTAGATCGCACAAAACTCGAAAGAAAATTTCGAATAGAAAAGATTTTTTAAAACAATTTTGTAGATGATAAAGGCTTTCACAAAAAATAACTTTATTTGCAAAAGTGCAAATCAAGTTATCGATCTTAAAATCAGATCTTGAGAGAATAACCAATAATAAGCTTTTTGTAGACTTTAATGATTTTTTGGGTGTTAATTACAAGATTTTTCGTTCGCTGTTTCAGGTTTCAGGATCGCACTATTTCACTGTTTTTAAGGTCACTTTCTGTTTCGGAATATTTCGGAGCCCGTACACCCACGTATCGTCACGTAACGCGTCTAAAACTCTACTGACTTGAGTGTAAGAATTTTTTTCGAAATTACTTTGCGACTTTTTTTGTATTATTTTGTTTGTGACTCGAAAATGAATTCAAATTTCAACGAAGCAACGCCGCAGTTGCAATCCGCGGCGCAGTCGGCGTCGCAGTCGACTCTACCTGCGATGTTCCCTACATGTTGTGTGAGATAAACGCAATTAGCACTGCGACTGCGATGGCTGAGCAGTTGACGTCGCAGTTAACGACAACAACAACAATCAAATCAGCCATAAGCTTGGGAACACAATAGACAACAAGCTTATGTGTGTGTGTGCACGTGTATGTGTATATGTAAATGTTTTTGCATGCATGTTTGCAATTATAAGGGAGGGTGAGGGCAAGTTAAACGAATATACACATACATACATGCAAACATACATACATACATCCAAGCTTACAAGTACAACTCCGAGTACTAATCAGTTACAAAAAAAGGTTTAACCGCATAATTATGGCGAGTGTGAGAAAGTACTCAGGTTATAAAATGAATGAGTAGTTCATTTTAAACGGCGCCCACTCAAAAGTCGGCACTATACCATATATATATGTACATATTTGATTTATAAAATATATACTTCTGGTCATGAAGTTCAAGGTCATTTAATTGTGTACTAATGGGCGCATGTACATAAGTGTTACCAAATTATAATAATTAAAAAATGCAAAGCAAAAAAGAGCTTCTGCAATTTATCAAGTATCGATACCATTTGTGGTATTTGTGTTAGTGTGACCAGCTTTGCATTGTTTATTAGTTCCTATGCAAATTGCAAATTATTCGATATCATAACAAAACAGCAAAACATAAAAATAAACAAAACTCATTTCAGTAATGTTTAACGTTTGTTTATATGGCCGTTGTCGCAGTCGCAGTCGCAGTCGCAGTCGCAGTCGCAGTCGGCTATTGCAGTAAACGTCGCAGTCAGTGAAAATGCAAAACGCCTCACTTTACGGTCCGTGGAATGTCACTCTTGACCTAGGCGCATGTGAAAAAGTGTTTTGACTCATCGTGTGACGAGAGTGGGGGGCGTATGCATGCATGTGTGCGAGTGTAATTAATGATTGCAGCGAAGATCAATTGTAAAGATAAAGCGAGAGAAGAGAGAAGGTGCTAACTAAAGGGGTGATATGAGTAAGACTGAATGATGCTTTGATTGCCCCAGTGGCATACAAATAAACAGGTAAACATGAGATTATATATGTATGTGTGTGTGTAAGTATGTATGTATATGAATCATGGTGTAATTAGTTCGGGATCTCTAGTTTCTTTCCTCAGAAATGAGCTCATAAATAAGCGCTCATATATTTGCAGTCTGGAACAGATCTGAGCTTTGTTTTTATACCCTGTAGAAGTTTATGGATGTTGAAAGGTATATTTTTAAATTTATGTATTCATGAATGTACGTCCTTTTCATTATGGCTTTACAGGGTATATTCTAGTCAGGCACCAGCTTACTCCTTGATATTTAATATGATTCACTGCAAGTCAATGTGATATCTAAAGTACTTTGAGTGCTCAGAGTATATTTTATGAGTTGGAAACAACTATAGAGGGGAGTTCCGAGTCGACACTAGGCATATTCATGTCATTTATTTCAGAGTTTTGTCAGGATATTCTTATATAGAACAAGCTTTAGAACAAGTTGTGCAGGGTATCTTTCAGTCAGGCATTCTTGACCTACTTCTTGTTTATTTTTGGATCACTTCATTTCAAGGTCGCAACTAAAGTACTTCAAGTGATCTTATGTGATATAATATATCTTTCTAGTCATGCCTAAAGTACTTCAAGTAATCCAATATAGTGAATATGTTATATAGCTGGAGACAGCTGGCTGCAAAGCGTGGGAAAATAATTATAATTAAGATATCTGTTACTAATTGAACCATGCATTTCTATGAATAATCTTAGAGCTAACAATGTTTTCAACTATTTACTTTATTTTAATTATCAGCTCTCCGCGTAGTCATCATAATGAATTGCATTTTAATTATAGTGGGTTTTTTGTTTAATTTGTATTTTTAGACGTTTTCCGGCTTGCCTCCAAGTTAGTTTCAAGCTCAAAGCTTAATGCACAAACTAATTGAGTTTGTGAATAGAACAAAGTTAATTTACTTTCAATTTAACTAACTGAGCAAATCAACTAATTAACTAAGGCGTTGTAGAGATAGTTCATTAAATCATTCATTAGGTGAGTGTACTTCTCAGTTAGGAATATTTGAATATTATATATTTTAGCTCCACATCTAAACAATAAACTTATTTAATACAGCTTGCACTGAATATTGTATACTTTTCGATGCACTTCAAAACTCAATTTACCCACTACATACTTTCAGGCAAACATTTATACTAAGAGTCTAATGATGATAAGGTGTAACTAAATAAAAGCAATCTATTTGCATTTGTAAATAACTGAAAGCGAAAAAAATGATACGTAGGGGATTGCAGATGGCATGAATTAATTTTATTAACAGAGAGATTACAGTACCAGTGAGATTACAGTAACAGTGAGATTACATTAACAGTGAGATTACAGTAACAGTGAGATTACAGATTGATAAAATATTTTTATCCAGAGTAGTTACAGTTGCCAGTATCCATCTTGCTTTTATTCATAGTTCATTTGTGCCGGCTGTTGTTGTATATGTGAGTAGCCTACAAACAAGTATTAAACAGCTGCAATATACTGTTAAACCTCAAAGCAGCCAGTGCTGCCAATAGCGGAAGATCGCTCCATCCATTTGCGCTCTTCCTGCTGATCTCGCCTTCAGCGGATAATTTTTTCAGTGAGAGTGAGTAAGCTACAGTTATGAACTGCAGCCCAAGCAGGAAGTTATTATTCTCAGAGAGCCCATTGCACTTCACAGCTACTCATTTTAAACGCGAACTGCAGTCGACTGCCCAATGGCCAAAGAACTCGTGGCCAACCAGCCAATATTGAGTACTAGTTGTTATAATGCGTGCTCTACTTAAGATCTAAGCAAAAGTAAAACACAAGTTTAGGTTTTTAAATGGCTTTTTAATACTTCACATAATCAAAGTTTGTGACGAACTTATTGAAGCGAAAGAATTTGGGAAATGACCCAAAGGAGACATCAAAAACTAGGCAGAGGTACACTCTGTGAATGGAATAAGATATATTAATTAATAACACTCTTTATAGTCTATCAGTCTGAGCGAAACTTACTATCAGACGCCGTCCAGCCAATATGCACATTGTTCTTAATATTCTCTGCCTCAAGCCAGACACGTAGAGGCTCAAAATATTCTGCTATAGCCTTGCCAGTCATGATGCGCTCACCATTGAAGGCTTCCAGTGCATCTGGCCAGGGCTTGGAGGCGCCCAGTGAAAGCATATTACTATACGAATAGGAAATAATAGAAGTAACTATCTCAAATCCTTGCTATCTGCTCGTATACTCACTGGAAAGCAGCGCCAGCTGCTGCACTGCCATAGATATCGCAGTTATCCAAAGGCAATTCAGGATTCTTGGCATCATACTGACCTGCCTTGATGCAGGCGGACTTGTAGAATTGGAATTGAATAATGAAAGAAACCAGATACCTATGAGAAAAAAAGGTTCTCATTAAATGCTGATGAAAAACATTCTTAAGTCCCTTTACCTTAGATACTCAACATCTGCTGATATATGATACTTAGCTGGCGCATCGAAATCTTTCTCTGTGCGCACTACTGGTGGCTCGATGCCAGAGTACTCCTCGCGCAGCTTCCAGAATGCACAATTCCACTTGGACTTGTCTACCTCGCCGCGGAACAGCGACCAACGATATTTGTCCATTGTGAAAGCGAATGGCAGGAAAACAATTTTATCCAGCGCAGTCAAGAACAACTGATTAATGCGCGCCTCCTCGTCGAGCACAAAGTTGTGCAGCAGATTAATCTTCTCCAGATGCTTGGGCGTCGATACCGACAGTGAGAGAACATCACCAACAGCTTCATGGAAACCAGGATTGGCGCCAGTTCGATAAACAAATGGCAAATGCTGATATTGCAGGAAGTATTGAATGTGTCCCAGCTCGTGGTGCACGGTAAACAGTTGGCTCTGAGTCACTTGAGTGCACTGCTTGATGCGCACGTCGTCCTGCAAGTAGAAGTCCCAGGCGCTGGCATGGCAGACCAAATCACGGCCATCTGTGGGTTTCTCTATGATCGATTTGTCCCAGAAATCCCTGCAAGAAGAAGATCATTCAATTAGCTAGACCAAGAGATTAAGCAGCCTTCACTTACTGTGGCAACTTGGTTAGATTCATTGAGGTAAAGAAATCATCGCCCATTTGGAACATTTTGAGTGGCGTATAGCCCTGCTTGACCATCTCGGCGGAAACATCCACAAGTGGCTTATCAGGGAACGGGGAGACCAAGTCTGCAATGTCCGACCATTGTTGTGCCCACATATTGCCTAGCAGATGCATTGGCAGTGGTCCCTTCTCAGAGACAACGTCATCGCCGTAATGCTTCCTCAGACGATAGCGCACATAACCATGAACCTGTTCATAGAGCGGACGAATTTCGGCAAAGATATCCTCCAGCTGTTTCTCGAATGTGGGATCCTCATACTCATCAAGCCAGACCTCAGCGCCAGAAGTAAAGTCTATCGAGGATTAAAGGAGATTTGTTACGATTGGGTATAGATTAGATATCAAAGGATTGAAAATAGCTTGGCGATAGGAATACTACGTATTACCTACTTAATTAATATATAATATCGATCCTATATTATCTATCTTCTACCTTCTATCATCTATCTACTACTTATACTCCTCTATCTTCGATATTTCATCTTCTATCGTCTTATCGCTTATCTACTACTTTCACTCTTCAATCTTCTATGTTCCATCTTCCACTTTCCATCTTTCACCTTCGATATTTCATCTTCTGTCTTCTAACTTCCATCTTTCATATGCTATATTTCTTCTTCCCTCTTCATCTTCTATCTATAATATTCTATCTTGCGTCTTATTTAGAAATTATTTACTATCTACTATAACCTTTACTATCCAATATCACCTATCTGCTATCTACTTTCTACTTACTATTCAATTTGGCTGCTTTCGTATTCAATTCGACGTAACGCTCGAATTGTGGTCGAACTGCTGTGCCGGCCTTTGCGTAGAACTGTACCCAATAGTGCTTGAGTTCCTCGTGATCGCGACTTTTGGTGATCACCTCCTCGATCTCTGGCTCAAGAGCCAGATCGCACTTGGTGCTATCTTTGTAGTCGCACACTTTGACCTTTGCGAAATTGGACTCCATGGAGGAGACTGTTTCCAGGAACTCGGCATAGTCTGCCTCAGGTAGAGCGGCGTATCCCAATTTCGATAGGGACTTGAATTGGCGTTTGATGTCCTCGCTCTGATAGCTGCGCCAATTGAACTTTTGTATGTCCACTGATACCTCCTTCAGGAATTTGGCCAGCTCGGCAGATATCTCGTTTTTCTTCTTCTCGTTCTCGTCATTGATATTGGAGCCGTAAGCCCAAGCGGCTTCCGTCTCGACATTCGTACGCTTGGCCAACTCCTTGTTCAGATTCTCCAGATATTCTTTGGCCTGGATTTCCTCCTTGACCACGGCTTGCGTTAGCTGTAAACGAGCATTGAGTGTTCTTAATAATACTGAAATTGTCGATTGACCAGTGTTGGTTAACGTACCGCCAGCATAGCCACCAGGGCTAGGCATATTAGCTTCATCATTCCAAAATTCTTCGCTGCAATTAGAAAGCACAATTCTTTTCGAATTTAGATCAAGCCATTAATTTATTTGAATTGAAAATAGCTACACAGCTAACGCTGATCGTATGTCTAAATACAGACATATATATATATGTATATATATTATTTATGTATATTCATATATATATTTCTATTGTTTTTGTCGTTAAAGGCGGGGAAGTTGCCGAAGAAAGTCTCTCTCAGCTCAATTGATTAAGATGTCGCTTAATTTTGACCCTGACCTTGCGCTGGCCTACAAGTGTATCTATTTATAGCACTATAATATTGCCTTTTTTATTGCTTTACAAAATTACACTTGGCAAAAATATTAACATTTATTAAATTCAATTTAATAAACTTAAATTTTGCAAGTCAAAATTTTGCTATTAGAAAAAGTAATCAACTTCGATGTTTCGACTAAGTTAAGAACTTTCTATAGCATTTGGCATGCAATGCAAATTTGTTTCTCTCAGTGTACTGAAATGTACTTTTTCTAAAATATTCTTTTTCATATATTTCATAATATTCATTTCGCTTTACAAGCTAATAATATTGAGTTTTAGAATATTAATCAATTAGTTTAACTTTCGCTAAACAAAATTTTATTGTTAGAAAAGGTTTTTTTTATATTTATTGTTATATTACTTTGGGACAATGTTTTGTTTAGTGTATTTATTATGTAGTAATATAATACGTCAAATATCTTTTGTCTTTAGAAACTTTCTTTTTATTATTTTACAAATTTGGCCAAATTTTCTTTGTATTTTTTCTTGATTTTCATGAAGAATTCCTAAGTTTTGTTGTTCAAGAAAAAACCGCTTATTAGAAAGCACTTTGAAGCCGAATTGCACAATCATTTATAGTTCGTATAGATAGTACCGCATGATTATTACTAGATAAGCAGCTAATACATCGCTGAAATTATAAAGCTTACTATTTCTAGCCGATAAGATTTGTCGAGTGATATAGAGAGTTTTAAACGTGTAGCTAATACTTGTTCATATAATGGAAAGTAGGTATATTAGTTTCGACTGTCTTGCTGGTGTTAGTTGAAACTTGAATATGAATATGAGCTTTATTTATGAACAACCCTTTTTGAGGCTACATCTATAACACCAATAAGTTAGTAATTATTAACATCTTTTGTATATATCCCAAAGATTACGCCTCTTGGTAGCTTGGCTAATTAGAAAAATAATTTTATTTTGACATTTGGACAGCTAAAATGTGCAAAATTTTTATATTCCTTTAAATATAGATCTGTTTATTAAGTGTTCCGCCCAGTGGGACGTGACCGATCGTAAAATATCGCTGTTTATATAATACGCTTGATTACAATGTTTTTACTTATTTTGAAATTGACTTTATCTACACTCAGCTATAAATCAAAAGTTGATTTACTTTTGTTTTGTTTTCTGTTTTGTTCAGCAATGAGAAAGTTTAAACTTCTATATACCTGTTATATACACAATAAAATACATATAAACTGTAGCTTTCTGGTTAATGAAAACCTGTTCAATCTGCTAGAACGTCATTAAAATTATTTGCTTAAATAAGTAAAGTCTTTGACTCATAAGTTCATTATTTTAAACGTTTTAAAAATGAAAGCTTTACGTTTAGATATTTATATATATATATATATATACTAATTGATTGAGTATCTATCTGTATCTATATACATATGTGAGCGATCAATCTTTCAGTCTTTCAATCAAGCACTCAAGTTAGTCAATCAATCCATCTTTCAATTACAGATACAAAATAGCAATCAATCAGTTAATCAATCACAGATGTATATATTTATATATACTGTCAATCAATCAGATCAATCAATCAATCAATCAATCATTTAAACACAGATGCATATTTTTAAATATATATGTATTTAGTTAATCAATCATGCATTACAGATGCATATATTTATATGAAAGGTCAATCAATTTGTCAGTCATTCACAGTTACATATACAGTTACATCCACACTTAGGGCTTATCAGTCCCTTGTAACGCTCAATTGAGTTTACTTGGAAAATTACAAATGTCTGCAGATAGTTGGAGCGTTAGATAAAGTTATTTGAAGTGGGGAAATATGAACTTTAATTCTTTGCCTTTGAATTATTCTGTAGACTAGAGAAGAAATTCGATTGAGCTGTGAAATTTCCAAGCCATATAAACAAACGCTGATAAGCTCTCTACAGACTACTGGTTGGGACGAAAGCAAAAAAACCAATAAAACCCTTTATGTAAGTCCAATCAGATCTAGATAAGATTTGTAGATTATGTTAGAAAGTAAAATAGCCATGGCTATAGCGGATTGATTATCTAGATTATACATATTTATGAAGTGCATATACTATATATACATAAATATACATACATGTATGCATATATATTGGAATTAGAACTAGCCAAAACGAATGTCGAGTAATTTAAACGAAACTGTTTAAATTAGAAACGAAATATCATTAATATTATTTATAGTTAGGGTAACGACTTAGAAATGATAACTAATTTGTATAACTGAGCAAATTACGAAAAAGTTAAATGAAATATTATATTTAAAAGTTGAATTTTAATAAGAATTTAGCTAGATGAGCTTAGAGCTCTGAATATACGAAAAAAATATTTAAATATTATATATATAATAAAAAATATATTTAAACACATATATATTTATGAGAAGAGACCTTTTACAATTTAATAAATATATATATATATAAATTAATAAACATTTTTCTATAAAATTACATATTCATTTAAAACATTTGTTTTGTTTTTGATTTTGCATAAAATTAAACTTTCCATATTTACTTCAAGGCCATACTTCCCATAAAATATTATATATTATTATATTTTTATTAACTTTCTATATAGATAGAGACGCTAAGTAGCCTACATTTAAGACTGCGAATTTTGTTTGCATAGACAAACGGATTGATCAATAAAAACTGAAAGGTATATATAAATGCATACATATACCTGTTTATAATGTATTTGAGAGTTGATATACTAAAAACTTACATTTGATAATTAATGCCGATTATTAACGCTCGATCGTAGCGTCGCGAACTTGAGTGGTTCGTTCACGAATTGAAACTGAAAATGTTTGAACGCCAATGCGTGAGTTTTATATGCGAGCGGGTGAGCGAGAGCGGGGTTTTGCGAGAGGTTCGATGTTCGAGGTTCTCGATTTCGGTCGGGCCACACAGCTCGTACGACATGAAGGCGCTAAGCGAGACGTGACCGGCGCTGATCGCTGCGTCAAGTGTATTTGACTTCAGCTGCCCGATAAAAATACTAAAATCAAATATTCAATAAATATCAATATTTATTGGGCTTAAGGCTGAAAGAGACTTAACTGAGCTCTTTCCATGCTCATTAACATGCATGACATACTTCTCCTGTATATTGCTTGGCCACAGCAGAAAAAAAGACAATGAAAGGTGATAAATAGTAATCAGTAAAAGAACGTAAAAAGTAACATCCTCTTTAGACGCGCTTGTGTGCATAAAATGCCAAACACTTTACATACAAATCGTAGTTACACTTTTTCTTTACTTCACTTTGTTAAACATCCAGATATTTGAATTCACATGTTTTGAAAAGCACGCGCATCCAACAGCTGTCGCTCACGCTCATCGATTACAGCAGTGCGCGCAGCTATCGATATCAATTGCACGCGTGCTTCTTAGCACTGTGTGGATTGGCAAACATATGCCACAGCTACACGTGCGAATTGCTTGAAGAAACTTAACCATAGGTGAAACTCCTTTAAGAAAGGTATGTGTGAATTAAAAATAAAAAAAGAAGCAAATCGAATCCAGTGTGCCTTGATATATTTCGTATACTTAGCTTATAAATACATTATACGGCGAAACACTAAGTAGTCGAGCTACACAATAAACATTCACACCATCACCACCACAACACAGGCCCAGCTGTGAACCAGTTCGTGAACCAGAGCGTAACGCATGAGTTTTCTGCATTGTCTGAACGTGCATGCGCCACTTTGTTGTTTAACAAAGAAGAAAAAAGCAACGTAAAACGTGAACTGTGCACAGTTTTAAAACAATATAAAAACTGATAAAGGTAATTAATATAAAGCATTTGCAACGGTTATCAGCAAGCAATCAACAGCTGAATGTGCTGTAATAACACAAACAACAACTCAAAATGCGTGAAAGTGCAAGAATATATTTCACAAGCTGTGGTAAAAGTGATTTTTTTGCATAGAAAATGCCAGAGCAGCAGCAACAGCAGCGCAGCAGCAGAAGTCAGCCAGTCGCAGTTTAATTGATTATTCAATACGCAATACATGCACATATACGCGCGTATGCGTGTGCGTGTGTGTGTTTGTGTGTCAGCATTTTTACCAACAAAAAACAAGATCATAAAAAATTCATGAAGCTGCAAATTTTTGTACAAACAAATTCGTCAGCATTAAAAAAGAAAAAAACCCCAAGTTAAAGCGAAAAACGTAGCTGTGTAAAACAGCTGCAAAATTCTCTACGCTTGTTGCTTTGTTATTGTCGTTTACTTACACACTTGTGTGTGTGTATGCGTGCTCGTGTGTATTTTTATTTGTTTCTCTTTTCCAGTGTCTTACACTTTGACCATGGAGTCAACAATTAGTTCCGGCGGCTCGAATGCATCCAGCGAATGCGCCGTCGACGCTGGCGGCGGCGCCGGTAGCAGAAGTCGCTGTCGTAATTTGGATACAACGCTCTGCGTAGGCAACAACAACAATGGCTTGCTATCAAACAACGGTAATGCGGCGCTCAGCCAGGAAGTTAAGGATCTATATCGGTAAGATAGTTAACATACGTAAAGATAAAGGAAATTTTTTGTTAATTTCCTTTATTTTAGCGCTTTATATACCGAGTCCAAACAACTGGACGATGCCAAGCGAAATATACAAAATATTGGACACCTTTTCCAGCACGATATTGAAGAGAAACGTGCTAATCTTGTGCAGCTGTGCAAACAAATAATATTTAAGGTAAACTATACAACATTAAAAAAATAAAACAACATTAATACTCTGTGTGGTATAAAAGCCTAAACTTAATATGTAGATATATTAATGGCATATCAGATGTATATATCTCAGATCTTCTCTAACTTTTAACTCGATTTATACTATATATTTTTAACCAATCTTATTTTGTTGTAGGACTATCAATCGGTGGGCAAAAAGGTGCGGGAAGTAATGTGGCGTCGTGGCTACTACGAGTTCATAGCTTTTGTTAAAAAGCATATGCATAAACAAGGCACCGATAAGGAGTGCATGCAGAAATTGGAACGTTTCCTTTGCGCCGGGATCTTCAACTACAAACGCTTGTCGGCAAAAATGGAGGAGATTTATGACTTGGACCTGAAATATTTGATCGACTTCTCCATTATAAGTGAGGGCTATATCAGCGATTGTATAGGGGACACGGCAGTTAGTAAAGAGCTGGAACCTTCGCAGGCTGCTGTCGATAAGAGTTTGGAGGCAGTGTCCTTTGCCTTGGATACTATACACTCATCGCTCTTGAGTTTGGGCGATTTGCATCGCTATTTTCTGGATTTTCGTATCGATAGCCAGCTAAGTTTGAGCATCACTAAAGAGCAAGTGGCCAAGTATTATTTAGAGGCATTTAAGCTGAATCCTGCCATTGGAATGGCGCAAAATCAACTGGGCACTCTGTATTATGGCCAGAATTATGATCTGGACTCAACTTATCACTATTTGTACTCTTTGGTGTGCATCATACCCTTCGAACTGAGCGAGAACAATTTAAATAAGCTCTTCGCCAAGCACACGGAATATCTAGAGCAAATGAATCCAGCTAAATTGGAATTTAATATTGAGGATTTCTATGCACGCTTCTACCTAATTGTCGATATATTCTTCTTCGACAAGGAAGTACCAGACTTTAATTCACTTTGCCATTGCGTGCTCATCGATTTACGCAAGATTCTGTGCGCTCAACTGCTACCTGTGCCTGAGCAAAGCATCTTTAAGATCATCTCCATACTGTTCTTTTGCCTGTCCAAATTGAAGATGATCAATTCACCCAAAGTTTATTCCCTGCACGCGTTCCTTGTGGCCGCCTGCTCAGATCTGATAGATGCCTGCATTGTCAACGTTGAGCAAACGATTTTGGCACGTGCTGCGGATAACGAAAGTTTCCAGCTTGAATACGAGCAACGTTTCCAGGACTTCGATACGACGGTGCGTAAATCGCGCAATGAATATAAGAACTGGCTGGCTGCTGTAGGTGAATGTGAACGCAAGGATAAGAAGTTGCTGGCACGGCCGCATTCGCTTAAGGATTTCAGCTCCGATTCACGGGATAGCCAACATTCGGCGGATGATGGTTGCGCTAAGACCCAAGAGGCACCCGACACTGATAAGCTGGGCGGCACAGAACCCATCTCAACTCGCTCCAGCGATGAGGCCAAGGAAAGTGATCTGAAGACTCCACTCTCCTGCAAGAGCAAGCGTCGTGGCATGCGGTTGCGCCGCCGTCGTCGTAAGATTGCTCAATCGGACGACAGTTCCTGCTATGACAGCGAGAGCGATATGGACACAGATTTCTATAGCGATGAGGAAGACTACACAGACTTGAGTTCCAATTTCGATACCGATTTCAGTGACATTGATGCCGCCGAACACGATGACGCGCCAGCGGGTGAGTAAAGAAATAAAATTAAGACAGGGGAGGCAGGCCGAATGGTAGATTAAGCTATATATAAGTGAAGAGAAGAAGAAACAGAAATGAGCTAACAGATAGAATACGAACAGACAAATAGAAGGCAGACAAACGGACAAATTATGAAAGCTGATGGACAAGGAAGATACGTGCAGCCAGATGGAGGGACTTGTGGGCAGGCAAGTTCATAGAAGAGAAAGACAGATAGGATAGTAGACGTACAGATGGAAAGCCAGCCACACAGAATTATCAAAGAATGAATGAATGGAAAAACGACAAAACTGAAAACCAAACTGAAAGGAAAAGCGTCCATCTAATATAAGAATTAATGCATTTAATTTTCTTATTAATCTCTGTAAATCCCTGCAGGCGACTATGTGAAAAAAGAGCGCACAACACGTCAGGCTGGCGGTGCCAATGTCTATTCGGATAATGAAGATGTGGTTATTGAGGAGGAGCGTCTTATCTATCCCGAAGAACTGGAACGTCGTCCCATTTCGCAAGAAGTGGATTCCGAGGAGTTGCTGCGCAGTTTCGAAGTGCTGCAGTTGAATTTTAAGAGTGCCGAGGATAATCAAACAGCTGCGGCCGACAAGACCACAGACAATGTTGGAGGTGAAACTAGTGCGCCTCCGCTGACCATTACGGAACCTCCGAAGAAACTGGTCTATCGCAACAAATATACAAAAATTAATCCGAATATTATAATCGACTGTCTGCACAATGAGCCAACAATTCGCGCTTTGAAGATGCTTTTCGATTGGCTACGCATCAACCCCGAGATTCTCATTGGTTGCTATCATTCGAATCCGGAATTTGTGCACAAGATTATGAAGCTGTTGAACTACTGCAACATTGATGTATTCACCCGGAAAGTCTACTTCGAACGGGAGCTGTTGACCACGAGCAATGTGCGTGATGCGCTTGTCGAGCTTTTCGATGTGCGAGCAAATGTGCCTTTGAGCGAGGATTTTGCGTTCAAGAACTTTGACATATTCCAGAGCACTCAGATAACACTCGACTGGGAGACCATAATTCGGGAGCGCGTTACACCCCAGGAGGAGTCCATCTTACGTATCTTCAAGATGGTTGATTTTGGTTTCTTTATTTGTAAACAGAAGAAGTTCAATTATCGCTTCTGCGTGAAGACGCGTCGCTTCACCGAGAACCAAAAGAAGAAGCGTGAGGAGAAGAAGGGTGGAGGCTCACGTCGCCGTGAACGACGAACTGCACCCAAGACAACACGCAAGCGAAACGAGGGACGCACTCGTCGCTACTCGGATCGCAAGAATGGCATCGTACGCAAGAGCTATACCAGCAACGAGGAGAAAGATACTGTTGAGGAATGTCGGAAGCTGCCCCGCAAGGGTTATCTGCGTAATCGCAATGCAGAGAAGGCTGCAGCTTTATTGGCCAGCGCAACGGGCACTTCTGTAGCTGGTGGCACCTCCGCCTCTGCGTCGACCACCACAAACAGCGTCATCGAGAAGCTCAATCTGCAGTCGAGCAGCGGCGCCGATGAGGAACGTTCCGAGGCGATGACCAAAAAATGTGAAATAATGGGCAAACTTTGGCTGCAGAACGAGGTGGAAACACTGGAGGAGGAGTTGCGTGATAGCACCAGCCATGTGGTCATGTCACCATTTGTTGTGGTCGATGCCAAAGCTTTAACCGAATACAATGGCATTGTTAAGTCCTTGGTAAGGACCAAGAAATGTATTGTGCTGATACCCAATGCTGGTGAGTGGTTAAAATTGGAATATAAAATATAAAACAACAGCTAATTCTTGTGGTTTCTCTAGTGCTGAATGAGCTGGATGAATTGAAGAAGCGCAGCGAGAATGTGCGTCATGTCATACGCTGGCTGGAGCAGGAATTCAAGCATGGCAATCGTCATCTGCGCGCACAGCGCGACAACGAAAGCCAGCCGCTATCGCTGCTGAAAATATCACGCAAGATGGGTTAGTCATTCGATGTAATGTCAAAATTCCAATACTAATTGCCTGTAATCTCTATGCAGATCGCGATGCCTCGGTTTTCTTGCAAATCGCCCAGTTTTGCAATCATCTGGTAACTAATCATGCCGATCCGCATGTGAGTGAGCTGCAAAAGAATGTTGTTACCTATTTGTCGGGTGACAATTTGCACGAGAAGAATCGCCAGCAGCAAAACTTTAGCTATACAGGCATACTCGATTCAATCCCTGTACGTTATGCTCAAATCCAAAGCTTCTATGCTAAGTTTAAGGCTAACAAAAAATGAGTGAGCCTGAGCGGACGCTAGGTGGCAAATGCATGGCAAAAAACAGCAGATGCAAATTATTTAAAATGCAAGGATGTGCATAGCGTGTGTTCACTGTACAACCACAACAAAACGACATGGAGTTCCAAGTTAACGAAAAGTTTCTCTCTCAGATGCGGCCCAAGTGGGGGCAACAAAAAAACGGCAAACAAACCAGACCAGCTAAAATATGATAACAAAACGAAAAGTCAATCAAACAAACAAAAAAATCATAAAACATAACCAACAGCAGCAGCAGCAGCGGCAGCGGCAGGTGGTTAGCTTCTTCGTTGATTGTTGTTTGTTGTTGTTGTTGTTCATATTGTTGTTGTTCCTTCAAAAGTAATTCAAACCAGCAGCAGCAGCAGCGGCAGCAGCAGCAGCAGCAGCAGCAGCAGCACTAGCAGCAACAGCATCATCTAGAGTTGCAACAGCAGCAGCAGCAAAAACAACGGCTGCAACAACTATTGTACAATGGGATCCGTAGCTCATGTGGCGGCATTTTCGTGGAGTTTGCTTGTTGTATTAGACAGAAAACCTGAAAACAGAAAAATGTAAAAAGCAAAAAAAAAAACAAAAATCTAAAAAATGAGATCAAGAAATCATAAATCGTTCACTTTCAACTCAAACGGCGACGACTCTCAGCTAACCCGGACAAATGGCCAAAAATCTAACAAAACGGATAAAAAAAAATGAAATGAAAAAGAAAATCAACAAAAAAAATAATCTTATTGAAATTGTTCATGATTCAATTCACTCCTTCAAAAAGATAAAGAAAACAAATTTAACGACCCCTCCCGAGTTTAGCCCCAGAAAAATGGTGTTTTCGGATGCTTATCAAAAGCACGGAGCCTCGTTTCAAGCGCTACGCATCGTATGTATCTCCCTTTCTTTAACATATGGTAGAGCGCGTTTCTAATTTCCAATTTCCCCTTACCATGTGTCATCAGTAACCCCCGTCCCCCCGCTCAAACCCTTCAACCAAACCAAAGGCAACAGTATATATACGGATATACAGATATGTATATATATATTCCCGTGTGGCAGCGCATATTAAGTATTTTGAAGCTATGGTCAATCAAGACTCCTTCACTTACGCTCCGGAACCTTTGTTAGTTTGTTTGAATCCCCCCTTCAAGTTTAACGTTCCCCTTACAATGGAATGTTCAGTTTTTACCCAAGCCTATCCATTATACAAATTATATAAAAACATATATAACGAATAATCTTAAAAATTGATAACAAACATAAATTAAATTGTCGGACAAACGTGTGCATCAAACCTATATAGGAAAGAATAAGTGAGAAAGTATTAAGATCTGTTTAACTACACGTATTTCAATTAAATTCTAATTTACTTTAAAATATTTCGCGCGATAAACAAAACTATGTAATATCATTCTGTTTTAAATGAAATAAAGATTCCGACAAGTAAACAAAATAATGGTTTAATTCGTATTGAAAAAGAGAATTATTAAAATTTCTATATTTTTAAAAGTGAGAGATCAAAATAGAAAATTTTTAGTTGCAACTAAAAAATGAATTAAAAAACATCCTTTTCCTAGCGTAAGTTGGTATAATTTATGAGATGATATGGACTATTGTTAACATATGATTGTTTTAGATGCTGGAATTGCTATACATTTTCATATGTACAATACTTTGTATACTTAATCGCTATGCGAAGTGTTGTGGGTTTGTGCCAACATTTCCATTATATACTAACTTCTTTTATGCTCTCAAATCAAGTAAGTAAAGCTTAAGTCTAGTGGTGCCTCCCAGATACAGGAATTTGATTCATTTGATAATTAGTGGAACGAGTTACGAGTTACGAGTTAAGAAAAACAATGATGATAAACTTGTATATTGTATATAAAATAATGAAGTCTCCAGAGATGGCCAAGATGGGCATTTCCATTCAGCTCGCCGTGTTGACCGTGCCGTGCCAGGTCTTCATCTGCCTCACCTCTTTCTGCCTGTTGCATTAAATTCAACAAACCCATTGCGCCCTGTTGTACCAAGGATATATAGCAATAGTTGGGTTTTTTGTACTCCGCAAGGTAAAAAGATAATTTTAGTTCTCTAACAACTTTCTGCCCAGCATAGATAAATAAATAACTTGACTTATTTTATAAAAAGAAAAGAGTTTAAAACTTTTTATCAATTTTTATATTTTTATTTTATGTTTTTTTTTGTGGTTTTTCGGTTATTTGTTGTATGTTTGTGCCTGTTGCGTTTTGCATCCAATTATATTGAGTTTTGTCACGATTTGTTGTGTTTGTTATTTTGTTTTCTTTAGCAGGTGGTACAAATAGCGTACACAATAAAGAGGGGTGTATACATATATGTATATATATATATATATATTATAGAATTTAATAACTATATATAATTGGTTTGAAATACTTTCCAGTTTGCTTGCTACATCATATAGTATATATATCATATATCATTTGTCATTTCATTCTAACTGCTCCGATTTCTAATACAATACTCTCGCATGAGAAAGTTTTAAGTGGAATTTCGTTATCAAAGTCAATTTTGTGTTTTGGTTTGCGTAAACTACAAGTTACAAGCGTGTTTTAACCGATTATCAAGCAATGTCAACTTTGTATATATATATAGAATTTTATTTATGTATAGATTATAGTGTTATAAGTTGTTTTTGGCTTTAGTCTTAGATTCACTATGTTTATACGTATATATATATATATATATATATATATATTGTTGATCTCTCATTCATCAGCTATTTTTAGGCATATTATATAGAGAATTCTGCTTCTCGTTCTCTTCCTTCTCTTATTATATTGTTTAAATTAAAAATTACTTAAATTGTTGTTTTGCAAACGACATTTGTAAAAAAAAACCTGCACACAGTTTAAAAACAATAATAATAATAATAATAATAATATAATATTAATGAATAATAATAATAGTTACAGTAATACGCAAAATAATAAATTAATTAATTAATTAACTTGAGATTTTACAACAAGACTGTACAGATTTTTTGTGCCTATATTTAAACGTACCTAAAAATCGAAACAAAACTAGAATTAACCGTAAATAAAAACGATTTTTGTTTTATGAATGTTTTCCATTCAGATCTGGCCGAAGATAATATTAGAAGAAAATATTCATTAATTTGCACATTTCAATTTTAGTTTAGTTTTTTGTTTTGTTTAAAATAGTAAAACCTAATTGCCCGTTACATTTGCTATACACAGAGAGAAATTTACGCACACTTTTAAAACTAATCGCTAAACAGATTAAACAGATATTTATGCATTTTACATTTAACACAAAAACAACTTGGGTTTTAGCTTATGAAATTCAACTATTCATCATTTTTTTGTTGTACGCTTTTGTTTCTTAGATCACGCCCGAAACGGACTTCTCGTAGGGCGTGCCCAGGGTATCGCGTCGTCGGGGCAAGGTGCCGCTGGCCGTCAGTGGCGCCGACTCGGGACAGCCAAGACCCACCAGCAGCTCCACCAGCGCTGTCGTATCCTCCACATTGTACTGTGGTGCGGGTATGCCACCGTTGGCAGCTGGCGCCGGTGCTGGAGCGGGCGCTGGTGTGCCTGCGGCCAGAGCTGCGGCGGCCTTCATTGACTTGGCCGTGGCCAGGGATTGGGCAGCGCGTGCATAGGCCAAGCAGGTGCGACCCTCATGATCCGTGTGCTTGATATTCGCACCGTTCTGTAGGTAGACGAAAACAGGAATAAGTCTCTCATAAGTAGCGAGGCAATTCTTGAGCTAACTTACCCAAACAAGCAGCTGGGCTATGGCCAAATTGCCAATGGCACAGGCCAGCAGTAGGGGCGTGCGCACATCCCGTGGACTCACATGGGCATTGGTCACCTCCGACTGGCAATTGGCCAATATGCAGACAATCGACTTGATGTCCGCCCTGATTACCGCTTCGATTAGCTGCTGGCCCGGCGAGGCGGCATTCACGTGGTTGCCACTGCCGAGAGGCGTCAAGAACTCCTTAGCCTCGTACTTGCTGCGTATCCAGCGCTCCTTCTCCTCGTGGCTGGTCAGCGAGGTGGGCTTCACACGCTGTCGTGTATTCGATTCCCACACAGAGTTGGCCAAGCTGTTGCCAATGGCCAGCAGCACGCTCAAATGCGGCGCCCTAGAGTTATAAGAGAGAAGCGTGGCATTAGTTTAAGTTTTAGTGTATGTATTTTTTTAGTTTATTCTACTTACGGCCAGTCGTCGAGGCCCAGAGAGCGCACCTTGGAGATGTGCGAGCCGAGATTGCGATGGATGCCCGAGCACTCAATGCACATAAGCACGCCCAGATTGAGACTAGCCCATTCGGGATCTGTGGGAGGAGTGAACAGAAAGTTGATATTTTAATATATATATTTTAAAGTAATTTAATTGATGGAGTTAGCTTTCTCTAGCGAACGATATCTGTTGGTTCGATTAATTGATTGTCGAACTATCGTATATGATCTCTTCTATAAGAACTCTTTGAGAAGACGTTTCCCAAGACGCGCCTCTTCTCTCTCAGAACAAGCTTTTCGACTGGAGCTATTAGTCTAACAGAGAGTTCAGTTTCTATTGCTATTCCAATTCAACTACTATCAAAATCTAGTGATGACACTATCGCATTGTTAAACAACTTTTCCCGCCCCACTTACTTGGCGCTCCGCAGTCGACACAATGGCCATTGCCCGGCACGCGTTGTTTGATCGCCACCATCGCCGCTAGCTCCGTGCTGGTTGCCTGTTTCGTTTTGCTGCTCTCGATGCTCTGGAGGCTCTTGAAGATCTCCTGCTCGACGGCGGCGACCCACTCATCGCGCTCCTCCGAATTGGCGGCCTCGAAATGCCACTGCTTGCAGTCGAGCGAGACAATGTAGAACTCGTATCCATCATTGTCGTCCGCCTCGTGTGCCTTAACGCTGCTGCTCTTCATGCGTCGATGTCGCTTCTTCACATTGGGCGTTTGGGCCTCCAACTTGCTGCTGGGCGCTTCGCCCGCTATAAAAGTTTGTGAATTTGAATTGGACATGGCAATGCCCTCGTCTCCGCTCGTCTGCTGTGAGCTATTCGATTTGAGGGGCTCCACGCCGCTAGAGCCGCCAGTGCCACCGGCAGCTCCCGTGCCCAGCAGCGACAGCTTTTCGCTCAGCTTGCGCTGATTGTCCTTGGCCAGCGTTAGGCATCCAATTCCCTCGCTGAGCGTACCCTGCGCCCGCTGTCCGTTGGCCAGCAGCGAGCTGGTC